CAGGCGTGAGCCAACACACCCAACAGCTAATTTTTGTATTATTAGTAAAGACAGGGTTTCACCATGTTGGCCAGGATGGTCTACAACTCTAGACCTCCTGATCTGCCCTCAGCCTTCCATGTGCTATGATTACAGTCATGAGTCACCATGCTTGACCTGGTCAATGACTTTTCTATAGGAGGAGAAAAAGGCTCAGGTTCATCCTTATCCTCATTAGATAAAAATCTCTTCTTTATTCTCCATACAAGAAAGTGAAGTAGGGGAAGAAGTTTCTCCCTCTTTTGCTTGTTTCTGTTTTTTTCTTTTCTCTTCTTTTTTTTTTTTTTTGAGACGGAGTTTCGCTCTTGTTACCAAGGCTGGAGTGCAATGGTGCGATCTAGGCTCACCGCAACCTCCGCCTCCTGGGTTCAGGCAATTCTCCTGCCTCAGCCTCCCGAGTAGCTGGGATTACAGGCACGTGTCACCATGCCCAGCTAATTATTTGTATTTATAGTAGAGACGGGGTTTCACCTTGTCGACCAGGATGGTCTCAATCTCTTGACTTCGTGATCCACCTGCCTCAGCCTCCCAAAGTGCTGGGATTACAGGCGTGAGCCACCGCACCTGGTCTGTTTTTTTTTTTTTTTAATTTCAATCTTCTGAATTCCCTTCAGGTGGAGAAGATGGACGGTGTGACTCACCGAAATCTGACAGATAAAGAGGATACGACGCAGAGCATACTAGCACGCACGTGGTCAAAATAGTAACATAAGTAAAATGACCTTGCTCCTACTCTCTTTTTACGCAGCGACCTCCTTTATCGCAGAACTCTAAACTAAGTTTCCTTGATCGGGAAACCAAGGACATCCCTGCTGAATTAAGAGCATAACTTGTGTAGGGCTTCAGGCTCTACAGTGCATTGGACGGCCTTCAGTGGCTGTTGCTCTGTTAAAAACTACTTTTTATTATTGGCTTATTTCTTGACCCATGATAACCTAGCCCTGATATTTAATACGAGTATCCCATTCTCCTGATGGGAGTTCAGACTCTGTTACTAATTCCCTGAAAACTGATGAGCTCTCCTTCTTCATGCATAAATTCAATGGTACTACATCGGGATCATTGTTTGCAGAGCTTCTGGTTAGCAGTGAATGACAAGAATGAAGTACTTAGTTTCCAATGAAGTCTGCCCCAGCATTTGTCCACCAAGTATTTATGGAAAAAGCTTCTATTAACCTCAGGGTTCTCTGTCTTTCCATATGTGTGTGAAATCTTAATGTCTCTACTTTGGAGCGCTGATCCCATTCATTCCGGGTGGCTATCTTCAAGCTTTGTGTTCAAATTCTACACCGAATCAGATATTCTTTTCTTTGTTGTTTGAGATGGCATTTCACTCTTGTTGTCCAGGCTGGAGTGCAGTGGCCTGATCTCGGCTCACTGCAACCTCGGCCTCCCCGGTTCAAGTGATTCTTCTGTCTCAGCTTCTTGAGTAGCTGGGACTACAGGTGAGTGCCATCACACTTGCCGAGTTTTTGTATCTCTGTAGAGACGGGGTTTTACCATGTTGGCCAGGCTGGTTTCATACTCCTGACCTCAGGTTATCTACGTATCTCAGCCTACCAGAGTGCTGGGATTACAGGCATGAGGCACTGCACCCAGCCTTTTGTTAGTTTTATTCATTACCCCCCTATTCTTTGAAATGGAAGTTTGCTCTTGTCACTGAGGCTAAAGTGCAGTGGTGTGATATCTGCTCACTGCAACCCCCACCTTCTGGGTTCAAGCATTTCTGCCCCAGCCTTCCTGGGATTACAAGTGCCCCCCACTGCACCTGGCTCATTTTTGTAATTTTAGTATAGATGGTTTTTGCCATGTTGGCCAGGGTCGTCTCAAACTCCTGACCTCAGGTGATCTACCTGCCTTGGTCTCCTGAAGTGCTGGGATTACAGGTGTGAGTCATGAGGTTTGGCCTTTAGTTGTATTACTGTTTTTTTGGTGGGGGGCTGGAGTATCTCTCAGTTGCCCAAGCTGAAGTGTCCTGGTGTGATCTCATCTCACTGCATCCTCCCCTTCCTGGACTGATGCAATTCTTGTACCTCAGTCTCCCGAGTAGCTGTGGATGTGCCCTCTCTAGGTTTTTCTTATAATCTCAGTGCAGTTAATTCAAGTGTGTGATGTAATGTGACGTGTGCATAAGCCCATAGATTGATAAGCCCATGGATTCTGTAGAAGACGCATCATTTGAAATAAGTTTTCATTGTATGATGATTGAAATGATGTTGGGTATTTTCCATTGTTCTCAACTGTCACAATAATCACTTAAAAGTAAGAAGGCTTGGGCCAGGCGTCGTGGCTCACTCCTTTAATCCCAGCACTTTGGGATTCTAACGTGGGCAGATTACTTGACATCAGAAGTTTGAGACCAGCCTGGCGTACCTGGTGAAACATGTCTACTAAAATTTCAGAAATTATCTGGTCGTGGTGGTGGGCACCTGTAATTTCTGCTACTGGAAAGCTGAAGCAAGAGAACCATTTGAACCCGGGAGGCACAGGTTGCAGTGAGCTGAGGTGACACCACTGCACTCCAGCCTGGGTGACAGACTAAGACCCTGCCAAGAAAAAAAAAGCAAGAAGGGTGATAAAGGGTTGCATGCACGCCTGTGTGAATATTCGGTGAGCTTTTACGATGCTCCATGTTCTCACCGTTAAACTTCTCTCACTTCTCCCCACTAGGTAAACCACTGTCAATGCAGATGTGATGCTGTGACTGGTATTTAGGGGGTTATATTCCAAGCTGAATCCCAGACATCTGGATTCAGGTGCTTGTGTTGACAGCTTTATCTATTTGATTTGTGGCCACTTTCCCGGAGTGTGTTTGAGGCAGTTCTCTCCAAGTCCAGATCTTTCCTTATAGGACAGTCTGTTCGTTTATGGCCGAGAACATGGGAAGCCCCTAGAACAGTGGTTAGCACAAGGAGAGTGTTCAAAACTGTCGTTACTACTGCTATGATCATGACAGTTTTTAGATTCTGACTTTGCTTTTTATTTTATTTTTCCAGAAGGTATCTCCCTGTCACTTAGGCTAGAGTGCAGTGTCACGATGTGGGCTCACTGCCACATTTACCTCCCGTGTTCAAGTGATTCCCCTGCCTCAGCCTCCCGAATAACTGGAAGTACAGGCACCTGACCCAACACCAGGCTAATTTTTCTGTATTTTCAGTAGAGACGAGGTTTCATCGTCTTAGCCAGGATGGTCTCAATCTGCTGACATAGTAATTGGCCCACCTTGTCCTTCTAAAGTGTTGGGATTCCAGGCATCAGCCACCACACCTGACTTTTTTTTTTTTTTTTTGAGACGGAGTTATTCTCACCCAGGCTGGAGTGCAATGGCAGAATCTGGGCTCACTGCAACCTCTGCTTCCCAGGTTCAAGCGAGTCTCCTGCCTCAGCCTCCCTAGTAGCTGGGATTACAGGCACTTGTCATCATGCCCGGTTAATTTTTGTATATTTAGAATAGACGGGCCACGCTGGTCTTCAACTCCTGATTTCAGTTGTTCCGCCCCCATCACCCTCCCAAAGTGCTGAGAGGTGTGAGCTTCTGCCCGGGACCCTGACTTTCTTTTTCTTTCTTTCTTTTTTTTTTGTTTGTGTGATGCAAGGCTTAACTCTTGTTGCCTAGGCTGCAGTGCAATGGTGAGATCTCAACCCACTGCAACCTCTGCCTTTCGCATTCTAGAGATTCTCCTGCCTTAGCCTCCCTAGTAGCTGGGATTACAGGGGCCTGCCACCACACCTGGCTAATTTTTTATTTTTAGCAGGAGACAGGATTTTATTATGTTGGACAGGCTGGTCTCCAACTGCTGACCTCAGGTGATCCCTCTGCCTCTGCCTCCCAAAGTGCTGGGATTAGAGGCATGAACTACTGTGACCGTCCCTTATTTTCTTTTCTTTAAAGCCATTGGACTTCGCGGACTCTGAGACAGCACTTGTATTTTACCCATCCAGAAAATGTATATCGCGTGTTATGTTGAACATAATATCTAACATATCTATACAGAGGATAATGTATATCACGTGTTATGTTGAACATAATATCTAACATATCTATAGATAGGATAATGTATATCGCGTGTTACGTTGAATATAATATCTGATATATCTGTACAGAGAACACTCTACTTAGTTTTTATTTGAGTTTTTTTTTCTTTCTGTTTTTTTTTTTTTTTTTGAGATGATTCCCTCTGTCGCCCAGGCTGTAGTTCAGTGACTTAACCTCCGCCTGCCGTATTCAAGGGATTTTCTTGCCTCAGCCTCGCGAGTAGCTGGGATTACAGGCACGTGACACTAGCTCGCCTAATTTTTTTGTATAATTAGTAGAGACGGGGTTTCAGCAATTTGGCGAAGCTGTTCTGGAACTCCTGACCTCAGGTGATAGGCCCGCCTCGGCCTCCCAAAGTGCTGGATTACGGGCATGAGCCATCACACCCGGCCAACTAAAATCAATTTCAATAGCAACGAATTTTCCTGGATCCCACGTTGACTTCTCAGGGAGGTCCTATTTCCCAGACGGCAGAGCTGCTCCAGCCTCACTGAGTGGTTTACGTTCCAAAACTCGGAAAAAAGCCGCCCAGAGCGAGATGGAGGGAAGCTGAGGCCCTGCCCCCTTCCGGCCGCGGACCCCTCACAGCCTCGCCTCCCTCACGCCCCGCCTCTTGACCGTTTCGCCCCGCCCTGGCCTCGCTCAGGCTCCGCCCACCTCTTGCTGTTCCTACCCTGCCTCGGCCACGCCTCCCCGACCTCCTAGAGGTTCCCGCCCGGGTCTGGTTTCTTTCCTTCGCAGATTGGTAGGGACCGGAAGCGGATGGCGTGTCCTGAAGGTCTGACCGCGGCTTGTGAGTTTTGGTCCTTTTCCTCTCTGCATTTCCCAGGCCTCCGGTGCTTCTATACCGGACACGTGGGTTCTCCAGAGACCTGGAAATTCCGTCCCCTCTTAACCCAGAGCAAATTGAGACGTCCAGGTGAGAGTGCGTGAGTCGCTTCCTTTTGAGTTAAAAGTCGCCCTGAGGCAGGTCCCTCCCTGGTCTTTCTTCAGTGGGGCCGTGCAGACAGACACCTTGTACCGCGGAAGTTTCCTGCTCAGACCTTTCCTGTCCCCTCCTCCTGCTTCACACAGTTTCAAGTCCTCAGCCGCGTGCTGGATTCCCGTCCTGGGCACCTCCCAGCCTCGCTCTCGTCGGTCCCTGGAGCGCATCGCCGCGGTCGCAGTCCCGGGGAGGCGCGTTGTGTACCGAGTCCGGGGAACCTGCAGACCCCACCTCAGTCCCAAAGCCCTGTGGCCTCCCCAAGTCCCTTCTAGTGCTGGGCCCTGCTGCTCCCCAGTTCCAGCCCCTGGAAAACGAGCTCTTCCTGGAGGCAGCCCTCTTATTCCGTCCTCGCCCTGTTTTACCGGAAGGCAGCCTTCGGTGTGAGATGTCCAAGTTCTTGGATAGTGAACATAGACTTGAAAAAAAAAAAAAAACAGGCGTGGTGGCTCACGCCTATAATCGAAGCACTTTGGAGGCCAGGCGGGGGGATCATTTGAGGTCAGGAGTTCAAGACCAGCCTGACAAACATGGTGAAACCGCATCTTTAAAAAAAAAAAAAAAAAAAAAACCACCACGAAGTAACAAAAGAAGAAAGCCGAGAAAGCAAAAATTTATTCAATCAAGAAAGCACTCCTTAGAATGGGAGTAGTCTCCAGTGAAAGCCTCCAGGGCCCCGTTTACAAAGTTTTGGGGTGTTAAAGTCTTTCTTTTGAAATCCTATGGGCTACCCCTTATCTGGAAGAAAGATTTGGTCGTTAGCCAATGAAAAGCTGAGATGAATTGACCCGAGGCCAGAGCAGGTGGGTGCCCTATGCAGAAGGGGTGTCCGGTGCTTGGCCTTTGCTGCTCCTGGGCTCTTTCCTTTTTCATTGGAGACATGTTGGAAGCGGGAGGGCTGTAGGGAGAATGGCCTTTGATCCTTTGTTACTCCACGTGGGGAGATGGGGTTTTTCCATTTGGTCTGTTTTTGGAAAGGTGAGTTCATTGGCCTTAGATTCCCTCCCCCAGACCCAGGACCCAGGTGTTTCCCTTTTCTCTTTTTTAATGGAGATGAGTCTCACTCTGTTACCCAGGCTGGAGAGCAGGGACAGGATCACAGCTCAGTGCAGCCTCCACCTCCTGGGTTCAAGGAATCCTCCCACCTCAGCCTCCAGAGTAGCTGCGACCAAAGATGGGCGTCACCACACCGCACTAACTTTTGTGTTCTTGGTATAGCTGGGACGACAGACATACAGCACCACATCTGGCTAATTTCTTTTCTTCTTTCTTTTTTTTCTTTAAAGACGGGTTTACCATGTTGGTCAGGCTGTTCTTGAACTCCTGACCTCAGGTGATCCGCCCACCTTGGCCTCCCAAGTGCTTGGATTACAGGCGTGAGCCACCACACCGGGCACCTGGCTAATTTTTTATACTTTCGGTAGAGGCGGGGTTTCACCATGTGGCCCAGTGTGGTATCAGACTCCTGGGCTCAACTCATCTCTTTGCTTGGGCCTCCCAAAGTGCCGGATTACAGGCGAGAGCCACCTGCAATGGTCCACAGGAGGATGACCATTGTTTTTGTTTTTCTTTCTTTATTTTATTGAGGTAGGGTGTCACTCTGTCACCCAGGCTGAAATGCAGTGGCACCCTCTGGGATCAGGGCAACCCCTGCCTCCCAGGCTCAAGTGATCTTTTTTCTGCCTCACAAGTAGCTCTGACAACACATGCGTTCCTTGAGACCTGGCTAATTTTGTGAATTTTTGGTAGAGAAGGGGTTTCATCATGTTGCCTGGTTAGTCTCAAATTCTGAGCTCAAGTGCTCTGCCTGCCTCAACTTCCCAAAGTGTTGGGATCACAGGGGAGAGCCACCATGCCTAGTTGGTTTTGGAATTTTCTAGAGGAGGAAGACCAAGGCAGCCTATTGGCCCTTCCAGGCCGTCACATGGGAGTCAGCCACACCACCTTCTTACCCTCCTCAGAGCTTCTCAGGATAACTTTGTGACCTGTCTCCCACTGTGAGCTTCAGGGACTTCACCTGTAAAAGGGAGGAAGAACAGGAAAGCTCAGAGTGACACTCACCCCTGAACAGACTGACAAAATACAGTGAGTTGCTTTTTGGTGTATGTTTAGTAGAGACGGGGTTTCATCATGTTTTCCGCGATGGTCTCCATCCACCCTGACCTCGTGATCCACCCACATCGGCCTCTGAATTGTTGGTTTTAACTCGAATTATAAATGGATTCTGGTCCTCCAAAAATTTAAATGTCAAAAGAATCAGAAGAAGAGCCAAAAATAGGGCATCGGACTCAAATCACCTTGAACCTTATCTCATGGCCTCAACCCACCTACTTGGCTCTGTGTCCCCTGCAGGTCTCTCCCCAGAGCGCTACAGTTCTCCTGTGTCCTGTGTCCTCTGCTCCCTGCGGGGGCATCGCACAGGCGTCTCCACGTTCACGTGTCCATAAGTGACACCTAAACCCCCAAACACATTCCCTTGTTGTGTGCACATCTCAGATGAGGGTGACTGTGTACTTCCAGGGACTTTGCGGAACTTGACAACATATATTTTAAATATGGGAAATCAGTTATATTACTCCTAAGTGTTGTAATTTATAATATAAAGAGAATATTACATGTATATGTGAAAGAAGTGAGAAGATACACTTCCAAAATGCTTTCTTTTCTATACAGGTTTTCGCTGCCTCACCTAGGATAAAGAGCAGTACTGCTATGTCAGCTCACTGCCAACTCCACCTCCCGGGTTTATGCAAGTTTCCTGCCTGAGCCTCCCAAATAGCTGGTATTACAGGCACGCACCACCACATCCAGCTGATTTTGGATCTTTAGTAGAGATAGGGTTTTACCTTTTCAGGCTGCTCTCGAACTCCTGGCTTCTGGTGATTCACCCACATTGGCTTCCCAAAGTGCTGTGATTACCAGCTTGAGCCACTGAGACTGGCCTTTTTTTTTCTTGAGACCAAGCTTTGCTGTTGTCACCCAGGCTGGAGTGCAGTAGCATGATCTGGGCTCACTGCAACCTCTGCCTCCCAGATTAAAGTGATTCTCCTGCCTCACCCTCCTGAGTAGCTGTGGTCACAGTCAAGTTTCAAAATTCATTTAGATTGTGAGAGGAAAATGTGTAAAGACCTTGTCCCTATGGACGGATCTGTGTCCCCAGGACCTCCCTGACCTCATCTCCTACCTGTGTCCTCCTCTCCCACTGCTCCAACGACACGGGCTCTGTCCTTTTGCTGGGGCTGAAGGTGGCTCCTGTCTCACGGCCTTCACTTAAGCTGTCCCTCTGACTAGGACTCTCGCCCCTCAGCTGCAAGTGACAAGCAGCCTTTCTTCCCTAGGTCTTTGTTCTGATGTCACCTTTTCTGTGGAAACCTTTGTGATCTCCCACAGCCCCCCACTTGACATTGCATCTGTGAACCCACAAAACCTCTGACAGATGTCACTTAATTTAGAAAGTTTCTTCTGCCAAGGTTTAGGATGCACCCGTGACACAGCCTCAGGAAGTCCTGCTGACATGTATACAAGTTGGTGGTGGCACAGCTTAATTATATGCATTTTAGGGAGACATGAGACATCAGTCAATATACGGAAGAGGCTCATTGGTTTGGTCTGGAAAGGCAGGAAAACTTGAAGCAAAGGCAAAAAGAGTTGAAGCAGGAGGGGGCTTCCAAGTCACAGATAAGTGACACACAAATACCATGTGTCCCAGGTGCTGGTAATCTGTGTGCAGCACTGAGGGTCAAGTTTCTGTGTCCTCCAGTTCTGAGGGCTGAGCTGAGCCTGTGATCCACTAAGAGGGGAGGGGCTGGGTCTGTGCTCTGAAGGGGAGCTTAGTCCAGCCCAGCTCCCCACTTCGGCCTGGTGTGTGCGGCTTCTCCAGGAGGGGGATCTGAAGACCAGGGCGAAACACACTTGTAGGTCTTCCTGTGGGACTTTCTTACCTCTGCATGATGTCTGTTGCTGTGGGCAGCAGAGGCCCATCTTTCTCCAGAGTGATGTCTGCCCCATGTGTGTGTTTCTGTCACAGTTGGGGAGTGAGTCGTTTCTAACATTAAGTCTCCAATATTTTTCACATACAGGGTTGATTTCTAAAGACTCATGTTACGTGAGGAAGCAGCTCAGAAGAGGAAAGAAAAGGAGCCCGGCATGGCTCTTCCTCAGGTAAAGTGACACTCCTCGGTGGGTTCATCTGTCTCTTCCCTTCCTGAAATGCCAGGTATTGCAGTAGCCAGTCTCTTCTGAGTCTGAAGCGTCCTGCCTGACACGTTGGCTGGCACTCACCCGTGCCTTCCTCGGTTCCTGTCATCTGCTCTGAGATTCCCTCTCTTGGGACCCAGTGACATGAACTCAGGAAGAGGCTCCACTGGGCATGGTCGTGGGAAGGGCTGACACCTGGACCTGGATGGACATGGGGTGTGGGCCTTGTGGTGTCAGTGCTGCTGCGCAGCCTGGATGGTTCAGGGGCCACATCTGGATGTAAGACCTTTGAGGATGAGATCAGAGAAACTACGTATGAAACACATGGGTTAATGTGCACTGATGTCTGGTAAACTCTGGAAAAGGAGACCAGTAGGGGGAGCTATTTTGTAACTGATTTGGTAATGCAGTGGAAGCCACACTGGTAGATCAACACGTCTCTGACTCCAAACTTAATTTTTTCATGTTTTAAGAGACAGGATGTTGGTTACAGTGCGGTGGCTCACACCTGTAGTCTAAGCACTTGGATGGATCACTTGGTATAAGGAGTTCAAGACTAGCCTGACCAACATGGTGAACCCCCACCTCTACTAAAAATACAAAAATTAACAGGGTGTGGTGGCACATGCCTGTAATAATCTCAGGTACTCAGGAGGCTGAGGCAGGAGAATCACTTGAACATGGGATGTGGAGGTTACAGCAAACTGACATTGTTCCATTGCACTCCTGTCTGGACAACACAGTGAGACTTCGTGTGAAAGAAAATAAAAAGGGAGAGAGGGAAGGTGTTGCTCCGTGGCTTAGCTGTGGAGTAGACTGGTACAATTCAAAGTTTACAGCAGCCTCGCCTGCTGGGCTCAAGTGATTCCTACTTTGGCCTCCCAAAGAGCTAGAATGATAGGTGTGTGTCACTACATGGCCAATATTTCTATTTATGTTTTAGTCTCTCTGTCACTTAAGCTGGAGTGCAGTGGTGCAATCTGGGCTCACTTCAACTTCATCTTTTGGGTTCAAGTGAGATTCTTCTGCCTCAGCCTCCTGAGTAGATGGGAGTATAGGCGCGTGCCACCACATCTGCTTCTTTTTGTATTTATAGTAGAGACCGGGTTTCGAGATCGATCCAAGATGGCCGACCACTAACAGCTCAGGATTGTAGCTCCCAGTGAAAGCCCAGAGAACGAGACGACGCCACACTTTTAGACGAATTTTCGTCACTCACCGATCAGCCGATTCCCAGTGGAGGAGCCCCACAGGTCGCCAGCATGACTCTTGTGGCCGCCGCAGCGGTTTTGCCGGCGTCTCGGCGCAGCAGCTCTTCATGCAGAGCCAACGGGACTGCTTCCCCTACTGATCGGAGTTTGGAGCTCCGGGAAGTCAGAGCCTCTTGTTGCGGACTCAGGAGGGAAGCCAGACCAGAGATTCCTGGGCAGAAGAGCACCATCAGTCTTATCGCTGCTATTTAGGCTGCCACAGTGGGTTGCTCGGATCCCAGCACTGGGAATCAATAAGTCGGACGTCGACTCAGAAACCTAATTAGAAAGGCAGTTCATCTACAGTGAAGGGAAAAAAACAGCCTAAGAAGGCCAAGTATACTCAAAATCAGAACCCATCAGCAACGGAACAAGCCCTGATGGAAAAGGACTCATCAGCAACGGAACAAGCCCTGATGGAAAAGGACTCATCAGCAACCGAACAAGCCCTGATGGAAAAGGACTGTGTCCCGTTATCTGAAGTAGGCTTTAAAAGGTGGATGATAAGAAACTTCTGGGAGTTAAAGGAACTTGTTCTAACCCAATGTAAAGAAACTAAGAACTGGAAAAAAGGTTAGATGAAATGTTGAAAAGAATAGACAGTATAGAGAGGAATACAAATGAACTTATGGAGTTGAAAAATACAACACGAGAACTTAGTGAAATATGTACAAGCTTAAACAGCCGAATGGATCAAGCAGAAGAAAGGGTATCAGAGGTCGAAGACCAACTTAATGAAACAAAACGACAAGACAAGAATAGAGAAAAAAGGATAAAAAGGAATGAGCAAAGTCTCCAAGCAATATGGGACTATGTGAAAAGACCTAATATACGCTTGATTGGTGTACCTGAATGTGACGGAGAGAATGAATTCAAGCTGGAAAATACTCTTCAGGACATTATCCAGGAAAATTTTCCTAATTTAGCAAAGCAGGACACTATTCAACCCCAGGCAATACAGAGAACACCACAAAGATATTCCTCAAGAAGACCAACCCCAAGGCACATAATCGTTAGAGTCACCAAGATCGAAACGAAGGAGAAAATATTAAGGGCAGCCAGAGAGAAAGATCAAGTTACCCATAAAGGTAAGCCTATTAGGCTTACAGCAGATCTCTCAACGGAAACCCTACAAGCTAGAAGAGAGTGGGGGCCAATATTCAATATACTTAATCAACAGAATTTTCAGCCCAGAATTTCATATCCTGCCAATTTAAGCTTTACATTTGAAGGAAAATTAAAATCTTTTAGGAACAAGCAAGTACTCAGAGATTTTATTACCACCAGGCCTGCTTTACAAGAACTTCTAAAAGAAGTATTATACACAGAAAGGAACAACCAGTATGACCCTTTCTAAAAACACACCAAAAAGTAAAGAGCATTAACATAAAGAAAAATTTTTATCAACAAAAGGACAAAATAGCCAGTTAATATCAAACGGCAGCAACCCTAAATTTAAATCGACCAAATCTCCCAATCAAAAGATACAGACAAAATCTAATGGTATATCCAAAGATATACATAGACTCAAAATAAAGGGTTGGAAAAAAAAAAACGTACCAACCAAATGGAGAGCAAAAATAAATAAATAAGAAGCAGGAGTTGCAATTTTCACATTTGACAAAATAGATTTCAAAGCTACAAGGATACAAGGGTAAAGATTAATGTAATAATAAGAGATCTTAACACCCAGATACATAAGACCCATAATGAGATTTAGATTCAACGAGACAGAAAATGGATAACGATACCCGGGACTGGAACTAAGATCCAGAACAAATAAACTCAATAGAGCTCTCCATTTTAAACACACAAAATATACATTATCCACAAAATCTAACCATATATCTAAAGATATACAAAGACTCAAAACAAGGGGATGGAAAAAAAACTCACCAACCAAATGGAGAGCAAAAATAAATAAATAAAAAGCAGGAGTTGTAATTCTCACACTTAATAAAATAGATTTCAAAGCTACAAGGATGCAAGGGTAAAAGGATTAATGCAACAATAAGAGATCTTAACACCCAGATACATAAGACACATAATGAGATTTAGATTCAACGAGACAACAAATTGATAATGATATCCAGGACTTGAACTCAGAGCCAGAACAAATAAACACAATAGAGGTCTCCATTTTAAACACATAAAATATGCATTAACCACTTTAAACACTCAAAATATTGATCGGCCATTATTGAAACCCATTTTAGGAATGAAGTAATATTTCTTTTTCCCTCTTTTCTTTTTTTCCCCTTCTAAAAAAAAAAGAAAAAAAGAGACCGGGTTTCACCGTGTTGGCCTGGCTCACCTTAAACTCCTGATGTCGTGATCCGCCTTGGTCTCCCAAGGTGCTGGGATTACATGTGTGAGCCACTGTGCCTGGCCTTGCTTTTTATTTATTTATTTTGCAAGTCAGAGTCTCACTCCGTCACCCAGGGAGGAGTGCAGTGGTGCAATCTCTGCTTACTTCAGCCACCATGTTTTAAGTTCAAGGGATCCTCCTGCCTCAGCCTCCTTTGCAGCTGGGATTATAGGTGCCTGGCTAATTTTCATACTTTTTGTAGAGACAGGGTTTCACAGTTTTGGCCAGACTGGTCTCCAACTCTTGATCTCAAATGATCTGCCTGCCTTGGCTTCCCAATGTGCTAGGAAGGCAGGCGTGAGCCACGAGGCCTGGCCCAACTATTTCTTCTTAATTGTACATTTTTCCTATATCTATAGAATCAAGACTTCCACAGTAACTTAGGGGATCTTAAAATGCTTAATGAAAAAGTGCAGTAGAGCTTATAATTCTCAGATATTATCAGTAACACACCCAAAAAAGTGCAGTAAAATGCAGCTGTAGAGAAACAATGTTCAGAAATACCGTAAGTAGTTTTGTCAGGACAGTCTTTGATGAAATGGATACTTAATTTCTCTTTTCTCATTTACTGTGAAGGTGGAAACTCACTCCTCCATAATTAGTTGAAATGTGTTTTTCATTTCAGGGACGCTTGACTTTCAAGGATGTGTCTGTAGAATTCTCTTCGGCAGAGTGGAAATGCCTGACCCCCGCGCAGAGGGCTTTATACAGGGACGTGATGTTGGAGAACTACAGGAACCTGGAGTCTGTGGGTGAGGAAAATGTTCCTCCAGACACGAGGAATCCGTCTTTGTTTATCTGGGCTCTTCCTGGTTTGTATTCTCTGTTGTGATTTTGCCCTATACAAAGTCTTTCTTATTTTTCCCGAGATGCACTTTTCCTCTTGTTACCCAGGCTGCAGTGCAGTGGTGCGATCTTGGCTCACCGCAACCTCAGTCTTTCTGTTCAAGTGATTCTCCTGCCTCAGCCTCCTAAGAAGCTGAGATTATAGGGATGTAATTCCTGGCCTCGCCAATGTTTGTATTTTTAGTATACACCAGATTTCACCGTGTTGGCCAGGCTGGTCTCAAATTTCTGACCTCATAATTTGCCCACCAGTGATCGTTCTGCACCCCCATAGTGCCCTGTACTGCTGTCCTCTATTTAATACCATTTTCTTGTGTGTACACAATTCTGGAATCCACATGGGGAATTTGTTGAGTTTATACCCGAAACTGAAATCAGAGGTTGTTTAATTTGAGAGATGTAAAACTGCCCTCACCTCACGTCACTATTGCTGCTGTTTGGCTCTTTCATTCTTGTCCCCTGCCCATATTGTAATTTGTGTGTTTCACCTCGGTTTCATATTTGACCATTTGCTAAATTAGTTCCACTTCCCTCCAAACTCAATCTTTGGTCTGTGCTGGTGGGATCATATTCCCACAGACCAGCCTACACACAGTTCACTCCTGCATGCCCATTACTTCCTGCCCTCCACCCTTGCCCTTCCTTTCCTGGCCCTACCTCACATGCTACATTGATCTGGATGCAAAATGCTGCTGCTTCCCAGCCTGTTGATTTGTAATGGTGAACACCCCAGTTTTCACATGAGCCCCTCTTCTCCAACACGATTCTCACTGAGTGAGTCAGGACCTTAAACATTTACTGGACATAATTATACGAGGCTGCTTAAATCAGTGTGTGCAGGGCCTGATGACTCAGCACGTTCTCCATGAGGGAAGGCTCAGCATGGCTGTCAGCAGCACAGCTCAGCCCTTGTATCCCTCTTGATGTATTTCTTTCTTCTCCTTGTATTTTCTGTGACTGGGCATTTTCTGTACTGCCTGGGTGAGACTGTTGTGCTTAAGAACATGTTGTGGGATTTTTCAGACCCAGCATCAAGTTTTGATAACAAACGTGTGAATTGGGTCAAGTACATGAATACTGTAAACTGCAGTTTTTGTTTGAGAAGTAATATTTTGCTTCCAGGTTCTTTTTTCTTTTTTGTTTTTGAGATGGAGTTTTGCTATTAGTGCCCAGGCTGCAGTGCAGTGGCACAATCTCTACTCACTGCAATCTCTGCCTCCTGGGTTCTATCAGTTCTCACACCTGAGGCTCCCAAGTAGCTGGGATTTCAGCCATGCACCGCCACACCTGGCTAATTTTCTATTTTTAGTGGACACTTGCTTTCTCCATGTTGTGGACACGCTGGTTTTGAACTCCCAAACTCAGGCAATCCACCCGCCTTGGCTTTTCAGTGTTGGCATTTCACGTGTGAGCCATCATGCCTGGCTGCCTCCATGTTTTTAAAACAAGTTAATTAGATGTCTTCACATATTGAATGTTTTATAATATAGGCAGGGCGCAGTGGCTGACACCTGGAATCCCAGCATTTTGGGAGGCTGAGATGGGCGGATCACAAGGTCAAGAGATCGAGACCATCCTGGCCAACATGGTGAAACCCCATCTCTACACGAAATACAAAAATTATTCGGGTGTGGTAGGATGCACCTGTGGTCCCAGCTATTTGGGAGGTTGAGGTGGATGAATTGCTTGAACCCAGGAGGCCGAGGTTGCAGTGAGCCAAGATTATGCCATTATACTCCAGCCTGGTGACAGAGCAAGACTCATTCTGAAGAAAAGAAACAAAAAAAGAGAGTTTTATAGTAGAAACTCGAAGCTTTTTTTGTTTCCTATGATTTGTCAGCCTTGGGTAATGTTGATTATGGGAGCATGTTTTTCTGTCTCAGTCATTTCACTGTTATGTCAGAAATAGGTTACACTGCCTGGCCTCAGTGGCTCATGTCTTTATTCCCAGCACTTTGAGAGGTTAAGGTGGGTGGAGCGCTTCAGCTCAGGAGTTTGAGTGCAGTCAGGCCAACATGCTGAAACCTTGAATCTACTAAATACGTAAAAATGAATAGGCACATTGGCTCACACCTATCATCCCAGCACATTGGTTTGCCAAGACGGGCAGATAACCTGAGGTCAGGAGTTTGAGACTAGCCTTGCCAACATGGTGAAGGCCTATCTCTACTAAAAGTACAAAAATAAACTAAGTGTGGTGGCATGCACTTGTAATCCCAGCTACTTGGGAGGCTGAGGCCATAGAATTACTGGATCCCAGGAGGCGAAGGTTGTAGTGAGCCAAGATCATGCCACTGCAGTGCTATCTGGACAACAGATCGAGACTCTGACACACACCTGTAAACACACAGACACACACGTACACACACAGACACACACATACATTTAGCCAGGCTGTAGTCCCAGCTTCTTAGGCTGCTATGGGAGAATTTTTTCTAGCACGAGAATCATGCCATTGCATTCCACTTTGGGTGACAGAGCATGACTAAGTCTCAAAAAAAAAAAATAGCTTTAACTCGGAAGCTTAAGACACAGAGATTTATTTCTTTTGAATTTAGAGAGTGGGAAATATAAGAGCAAGGTGCAGGCAGATTGGTTTCTGCTGACAGCCTCCTTTGTGATTTAGCCCAAGCATCTTCCTGCTGTGTTTTGTCTTGGTGGAAAGAGGAATAGTCAACAAGCTCTTCACTGTCTCTTTTTATAAAAGCACTAGTCCTGGCCAGGAGCCTTGGAGTTTATATTTTGTGGGTATCTCCTCCAAATGCATAAGGAAGAAGTTTTCATCAACAGGGCAAGGCAGTACGGAAGTGTTCCACACAGGGACATTGGCAAGACAGGAAAGTCATCACATTGGAGAGTTTTGCTTCCAGGAGACTGAGGAACATAGTCATGACTTTGAGTTTCAGTGGCAAGAAGCTGAAAGAAATAACCGTGAAGCACCGTGACAACATGTAAAAAGCTGACTGGTAGTACAGACCAATAAGATCAAAGGCATGCCGGAAACAAGCCTGTTAAAGATGAGCTTGGAGTGATCTTTTATTGCCATCTTCTGAAACTCACATATTTCAGACTGAAGGGAATTCTGGTAATAAGGTTGAAAAGTGTATCAATGATGCTTTCTTAGTTTCAGTATCCCAAATAATTTTTTGTATAGCCAAATCCCATATTTCTAATAACCATGACAAGAACTTCCTCCATTCTTCATTACTTACACAAAAATAGGAAGTATGCATGAGAGAAAAATCTTTCCAATGTCATGAGACTGGGAAAGCCCTTAATTGTAGCTCATTTTTTTCATTTAATTTTTCTTTATTTTTCCAGCCGCTGGCAACCTCAATTGTAGCTCATTGTTGAAGAAACATCAGATAAACCATTTAGGAAAGAAAAAATACAAATGTGATGTGTTTGGCAAGTTGATCAATGAGAAGCAAAATCTTGTACGCCATCATAGATGTCACACTGGTGAGAAACCTTACAAGTATAATGAGTGTGACAAGTCCTTCAGTGACAGGTCATGTCTTCCACGCCATCATAGACTTCATACTGGAGAGAAACCTTACAAGTGTAAGGTTTGTGACAAGGCTTTCAGACAAGATTCAAACCTTAAACAACACGCTAGAATTCACACTGGAGAGAAACATTACAAGTGTAAAGATTGTGGCAAGACCTTCAGTCAAAATTCATCACTTTTAATTCATAAGGTAATTCATACTGGAGAGAAACCTCACAAGTGTAATGAATGTGGCAAGGGTTTTAATCGACAAACACACCTTGTACGTCATCATAGACTTCATACTGGAGAGAAACCTTACAGGTGTAATGAGTGTGGCAAGACCTTTAGTCAAAATTCATCACTTGTAATTCATAAGGTAATTCATACTGGAGAGAAACCTCACAAGTGTAATGAATGTGGCAAGGGTTTTAATCGACAAACACACCTTGTTCGTCATCATAGACTTCATACTGGAGAGAAACCTTACAAGTGCAATGAGTGTGGCAAAACCTTTAGTCAAAATTCATCACTTGTAATGCATAAGGTAATTCATACAGGAGAGAAACCTCACAAGTGTAATGAATGTGGCAAGGGTTTTTTTAAAAAGGAAAACCTTGTACGTCATCATAGAAGTCATACAGGAGAGAAACCTTACAGGTGTAATGAGTGTGGCAAGGCCTTCAGTCAGGTGTCATCCGTTGCACGCCATCGTAGACTTCATACAGGAGAGAAACCTTACAAGTGTCATGAGTGTGGCAAGACCTTCAGTCAGATGTCATCCTTTACATGCCACCGTAGACTTCATACTGGAGAGAAACCTTACAAGTGCAATGAGTGTGGGAAGACCTTTAGTCAGATGTCATCCCTTACATATCATTGTAGACTTCATACTGGTGAGAAACCTTATAAGTGTCATGAGTGTGACAAGAGCTTCATTCAAAAGTCAGCCTTTACAATGCACCGTAGAATTCATACTGGAGAGAAACCTTACAAGTGTAATGAGTGTGGCAAGACCTTCAGTCAAAATTCATCACTTTTAATTCATAAGGTTAATCATACTGGAGAGAAGCCTCACAAGTGTAACGAATGTGGCAAGGGTTTTGTTAAAAAGGAACACCTTGTACGTCATCATAGACATCATACAGGAGAGGAACCTTACAGGTGTAATGAGTGTGGCAAGGCCTTCAGACAGGTGTCATCCCTTACATACCATCGTAGACTTCATACTGGAGAGAAACCTTACAAGTGTAATGAGTGTGACAAGACCTTCAGTGACAGGTCATCCCTTCAACGCCATCATAGACTTCATACAAGAGAGAAATCTTACAAGTGTCATGAGTGTGGCAAAACCTTCTGTCAGATGTCATCCCTTACATGTCATCGTAGACTTCATACTGGAGAGAAACCTTACAAGTGTAATGACTGTGGCAAGACCTTCAGTCAGATGTCATCCCTTACATGTCATCGTAGACTTCATACTGGAGAGAAACCTTACAAGTGCAATGAGTGTGGCAAGACCTTCAGTCAGATGTCATCCTTTACACGCCACTGTAGACTTCATACTGGAGAGAAACCTTACAAGTGTAATGAATGTGGCAAGGTTTTTAATCGTAAAGCACACCTCGTATGTCATCATAGATGTCACACAGGAGAGAAACCTTACAAGTGTAATGAGTGTGGCAAGACCTTCGGTCAGGTGTCATCCCTTACATGCCACCGTAGACTTCATACTGGAGAGAAACCTTACAAGTGTAATGAGTGTGGCAAGACCTTCAGTCAGGTGTCATCCCTTACATGCCATTGTAGACTTCATACTGGAGAGAAACCTTACAAGTGTAATGAGTGTGGCAAGACCTTCAGTCAGGTGTCATCCCTTACATGCCATCGTAGACTTCATACTGGAGAGAAACCTTACAAGTGTAACGAGTGTGGAAAAACCTTTCATCAGATGTCATCCCTTACATATCATCGTAGACTTCATACTGGAAAGAAACCTTACATATGTAAGGTCTGTGACAAGCCTTTCAGAAGCAATTCACACCTAGCTAAACACAGTATAATTCACACTGGAGAGAAACCTTAGAATTGTAATGAGTGTGGCAAGACCTTCAGTCAGATGCCAAATCTAGTACACCATTGTAGACTTCATACTGAAAAGAAACCTTACTAGTGTAATGAATGTGGCAAGGTTTTTAACCGACAGGCAACCCTTGCATGTCATCATAGACTTCATTCTGGAGAGAAACCTTACAAATGTGAAAAATGTGACAAAGTTTTCACTCACAGATCACACCTTGAAATGCAGAAGAAAACTCATAGTGAAGAGAAAGCTTACAAATGTAAAATTTGTGACAAGGCTTTATCATGTAATGTATACCTGGGAAAACATACTAGAATTCACACTGGAGAGAAACCCCACAAGTGTAATTAATGGAGCAAGTCCTTCAATCAAAATTGATTTCTTAATTCATAAGGTAATTCATACTGGAGAGAGATCTTACAAGTGTAATGAGTGTGGCAAGGTTTTGAATCAAAAATCAAATCTTGCTCATCATTATGGACTTCATGCTGGAGAGAAACCTTACAAATGTGAAGAATGTGATGTTTTCAGTCCCAAGTCACACCTTGAAAGACACAGTGTAACTCCTACTGAACAGAAACCATAGACATCTGAGATTTGTGACAAGGCTTTCGGGCATGATTCACACCTGGCGTAACATGCTAGATTCTCACTGGAGAGAAAACATACACGGGTACTGAGTGTGGCCAAGCCTTCAGTGGACAGTCAACACTTATTCATCATCAAGCAATCCATGGTATAGAGAAACTACTAATGTAAAGATTGTTCCAAAGTCTTCAGTAACGCTATAGCCATTGACATTATTGGAGAATCCATGGTGGAAAGGCATCTTACAAGTGTGGTAAATGTGGAGATTTTTTGAACATCGTTGATACCTTTCAGTTTATCGGCCAACTCATGCTGGAGAGAAACCCTACAAATGTCAGGATTGTGGCCAGGTCTTCAGTCATACTTCCCCTTATGCAAAACAGGGGAGAAGTTATACAGGAGAGAAACCTTCCCAGTTTCTCCCAGTGTGCTCGTGGTGGCAAGCTTTACTTCACATTCACACGTCATTAGACATCAGAGAATCCATCCTGGACGGAAATCTTACAAATGTCCTAAGCGTGGCATGGTGTTTAGTCCGAGGTCACTCCTTGCAGAACATGAGAAAACTAATTCTGGAGATAATTGTTCAAAATGCATTGAATAAGCAGCCATCAAGAATTAATTGACATTTGGCTGGGCACGGTGGCTCAAGCCTGTAATCCCAGCACTTTGGGAGGCTGAGGTGGGTGGATCACCAGGTCAAGAGATCAAGACAATCCTGGCCAACATGTTGAAACCCCGTCTCTACTAAAAATACAAAAATTAGCTGGATATGGTGGCATGGACCTGTAGTCTCAGCTACTTAGGAGGCTGAGGCAGGAGATTTGCTTGAACCTGGAAAGTGGAGGTAGCAGTGAGCCGAGATTGTGCCACTGCACTCCAGCCTGGCACCTGGCAAAAGAGCGAGACTCTTTCTCAAAAAATAGAGAAAAAAAAAATTAATTGACATTACAGTCAATTCAGCATCTACTTGAGTTTCAGTTGACTTAACATTGAGTTCAAGCATTAATTGACATTGACATTAAAGTGTTTATGTTGAGATGATTGGGCCAGGCAGGGTGTGGCTCACACCTGTAATTGCAGCACTTTGGGACGCCAAGATCGGTAGGTTGCTTAAGGTCAGATTTGGACCAGCCTGGCAAACAGATGTGAATCCCCTTTTCCCAGCCTGTTTTTGTTTTGTTATGTTTTGTTTTTACTTGACGAAAACTGACAGGGGGTTTTATGGGTATTGTGTTGAATCTAATCACATTGGTTTATATAATCATTTCACAACATTTTTCCAATTCGTCAATATGAGCTGTGTGTCTATTTGTTTTTAATCATTTTAATCAATGTTTGTAGATGTCAAGGTAGTAACTTCTCACCTTTAACCTTTATTCCTAAGTATTTTTTTGTTTTTTTTTTTTTTTTTTTTGAGATGGAGTTTCGCTGTTGTTAACCAAACTGGAGTGCAATGCCATGATCTCGGCTCACTGCAACCTCCGCCTCCTGGGTTCAAGCTATTCTTCTGCCTCAGCCTCCCAAGTAGCTGGGATTACAGGTGCGCACCACCATGCCCAGCTAATTTTTGTATTTTTAGTAGAGACGGGGTTTCATCTTGTTGACCAGGATGGTCTCGATCTCTTGACCTTGTGATCCACCTGCCTCGGCCTCCCAAAGTACTGGGATTATAGGCGTGAGCCACCGCGCCCAGCCTAAGTATTTCTTTTTTTTTTTTTTTTTGAAACGGAGTTTCGCTCTTGTTACCCAGGCTGCAGTGCAATGGCGCGATCTCGGCTCACTGCAACCTCCGCGTCCTGGGTTCAGGCAATTCTCCTGCCTCAGCCTCCCGAGTAGCTGGGATTACAGGCAGGCACCACCATGCCCAGCTAATTTGTTTTAATATTTTTAGTAGAGACGGGGTTTCACCATGTTGACCAGGATGGTCTCGATCTCTTGACCACGTGATCCACCCGCCTCGGCCTCCCAAAGTGCTAAGATTACAGGCCTGAGCCACCGCGCCCGGCCAGTATTTCCTATTTTGAGTTCTCTAGCAGGTGGAAATGTTTTCTTAATTTTCTCTTAAAATTGTTTGTTGTAGATGTATGGAAATTGAACTATGTTTTCGTGCTGCTACTGTATTTTGCAGTAACACTGAATGTGTTTCTTGGTTCCAATAAAATTTGGTTGACTGTAATTTTCTATGGAGCAGATCATGTATCTCCAAACAAAAATATTTGTACTTGTTTCTGATTTGGATGAGTTTTCTTTTGCTATGTAATTACTCTGCCTAGGACAACAGTATTTATTGAATGGAAGGAGTGAGATAATTCTTGCATCATGCGAGATTCTACAGGAAACACATTTTTTTCATTGGTTATTTCTGCTGTCGTCATTTCCTGGATGGTCTTTTTTTTTTTTTTTTTTTTTTGAGACAGAGTTGCGTTCCTGTGACCCAGGCTGGAGTGCAATGGTGCGATCTCCGCTCACTGCAACCTCCGCCTCCTGGGTTCAGGCAATTCTCCTGCCTCAGCCTCCTGAGTAGCTGGAATTACAGGCACACACTACCATGCCCAGCTAATTTTTTGTATTTTTAGTAGAGACGGGGTTTCACCATGTTTACCAGGGTGGTCTTGATCTCTTGACCTTGTGATCCACCCACCTTGGCCTCCCAACGTGCTGGGATTACAGGTGTCAGTCACCGCACCTGGCCTTCATGGATCATCTTTATATTATTGAGGGAAATTTTCTTCACTATCTGTTTTCTTCGCTTTCTGTTTAGGATTTCTATGATGACTGGATGTTGAATTCTGAGAAATGCTTCTTTCCCATCTCTTGAGTTGATGTGTTTTTCATTTTCCATTCTGTTCAAGTGGTGTATCACATTGATTTGCTTCAATATGTTGAACCATCCTTGCATCCCAGAAATAACTGACACTGGAATATCCACAATCTTTTTTATATTCTCTCAAATACAGGTTTTTAGTACAAGAGGTCTTCAAAAAAAAATTTTTTTTTTTTTGAGACCAAGTTTTGCTCTTGTTACCCAGGCTGAAGTGCAATGGCATGATCTTGGCTCACAGCAACCTCTGCCTCCTGGGTTCAAGCGATTATCCTACCTCAGCTTCCCAAGTAGCTGAAACTACAGGCACGCGCCAACATGCTCAGCTAATTTTTGTATTTTGATAGAGACAGGGTTTCGCCATGTTAACCAGGATGGTTTCAATCTCTCGACCTCGTGATCCATCCGCCTCAGCCTCCCAAAGTGCTGGGATTATAGTCGTGAGCCACGGCGCCCAGCTGAAAATTTACAAAAAAAAAATGTAATGGCTGGGCCTGGTGGCTCACATCTGTAATCTCAGCACTTTCAGAGGCTGAGACGGGCAGTCATGAGGTCAGCAGATCAAGAACATCCTGGCCAACATGCAGAAGCCCCATCTCTACTCAAAAAAAAAAAAAGAGAGAATTGTGCCTAAATTTCACACTTTAGCACCTAAACTGATATGTTTGTTACAGCATGTCTGAACAGGCTCTACTTTGAGCCCCTCAGAAGGATAAGGCACGAGTTTGAGAAGAGACTCTGTCAAAGCAGTAAATTTGTGCTAAACTTGAAACAAGAAGAAACATCAAATTTACAATGAGAGCAGATGCAGCGGCTCAGGCCCGTAATCCCAGCACTTTCAGGGCCCGAGATGTGGGTCACGTGAGCCCAGGAATTCAAGGGCAGCCTGGGCAACATGGTGAAATCCCCTTCTCTACAAGAAAGACTAACATTAGCTGGGCATGGTGGCACATGCTGCAGACACAGCTACTGTGGAGTCTGTGGTGGGCGGATGGCTTGAGCCTGGGCAGTCATGGCTGCAGTGAGCTGTGATCATGCCACTGCCCTTCAGTGTGGGTGACGGAGTGAGATCGTGTCTCAAAATAAGAATACTTACAGTAAAGACTGGGTAAGGAACAAAATCATTGATGCCGTATGACAAGTTTATGAGGACGATGGCCAAAAGAAATCACACCTCATTGTGAGTTGGGAGAAGACGGTGTGTGAAGTGATGCAGGGTGGCAGGCAGGTCATCCACATCAGTTTTACAGAAAACAAATTAATCTTGTTCCTGCCGCAATGAAGAGGACTGCCAGCTAACAGCAGAAATGATAGGAGTTTGAGACCAGCCTGGTTAGCCTGGTGAAACCTCTTCTCTACTAAAAATACAACTAGCAGCCGGGCATGGTAGTGGGTACCTGGAATCCCAGCTACTCAGGAGGCTTCGGCAGGAGAATCACTTAAACCCGGAGGAGTTTAAGTTGCTGTGAGCCGAGACGACACCATTGCACTTTATTCTGGGCAACAAGAGCAGGACTTCGACAGAAGAAAAATATGAAGACAGGAAGCCCGTTCTCTTCATTCCTCTGCCATCATGGTGTGTGCTTGACTCCGCTTCTTACAATGTCTTCTCACAAGACTACAATTAAGTGATTCCTGGCCAAGAAACAAAAGCAAAATCATCCATTCCCCAGTGGATTCAGATGAAAACTGGTATTTGTTTATTTTGAAGGTGATGGCAGCTGGCAGAGCTTAGCCTACTGAGCATTGGACATATGGCTACAGGAGAGCGCCCCTAATTAGCGGGCTTTTCCCCAGAGCTTTGCACTTTAGGCTGCTCTGCACCTCTTTGCCCACCTTAGAATAATAAGGTTCGGGTGCACAGGGACTGCTTTTAGCCCTTTTCCAGGGGACCAGGGAAGACAAGGAATTCCTTATTAACTGAGACATGCGAGGAGTAACAGGGAAGGGCAGGGGTAGGAAAAGCGGCAGCACGGAAGCAGCGGGCCACTTTCCGGGCACCATTCCTCAGTCACGTGACCATGGTGAGGAGGATTCTTAGGACCGGGCTGGAGCTGCCTGCCGCCACCCAGGGACTCGGTGTGCACATTTTGGCCCTTTCTCTGTTACCACAAACCCAAAAAGGGGCCACCTGCCCAGACTGCCAGTGACCAAATGGGCACTCCATGGCATCTTAGCAACTCTCCTGGCCCAGGCCTCTGTGGGCAGCAGGGAAGCCAGAGCTTTCTGGGATGAAACCCAGGAGGCAGCAGGAAACTTTCCCTTATATTCCAGGGAGACAGAAAGACAAGGCTGGGAAGGTGGATGCTGGAAGTGGGAACTGCATATTAGGAAGACGATCATCCTTAGCCACTTTCCTTCCCTCCTGGAGGCTCCCCTTTAGCAGGGAAGTGTGTGGAGGGGAAGTGGCCACATGATTATATAGATGTTTGCTGACCAGGGGTCTTATCCAAGAACCATCGCTGGGGTCCAGCACAGCCCTATCCCACCCCAGTATCATGCGATGGTACCCTGCACTGGTCCCCCAAGCCCCTCTTGGATTAAGGAATACCGAAGACCAGCCCCTTTTCTGGGGAATTACTTTCCTCTTTCCTGTGTCGGCCGGGGCTTTTGGGACACTGTGTAATTTCTCAGGGATTTCCTATAGTTTTGTTCCCTCCCTCAAGGCTGGTAGAATATAACTACCAACCCAGGAAATCTCAATTTTTTTTTTTAATGACTAAAGCTAAAAAAAAAAAAAAAAAGTACTGTCTTTTGGGCAACCTTCAATTCTCTTAGGGGCAATGGGAGGCAGTGTTGGCTGAATGGGGCCAATGAATACAGGTCCCGTTAAGCGTGCAGGAAAGGAGGGCAATGGCTTTTCTTTTTGTTTATATTGAGACTGAGTCTCGCTCTGTCATCAGGCTGGAGCGCAGTGGTACTGCAACCTCTGCCTCCTGGGTTCAAGTAATTCTGCTTCAGCCTCCGAAGTAGCTGGGACTTCAGGCGCCTGCCACCATTCCCAGCTAATTTTTGTATTTTTAGCAAAGACAGGATTTCACCATGTTGCCCAGGATGCTCTCAAACTCTTGACCTCATGATCTGCCCCCCTCCTCAGCCTACCAAAGTGCTACAATTACAGGCGTAATCCACCGTGCCCGACCTTGTCAATGACTTTTCTATAGGGGGAGTAAAAGGCTCAGGTCCATCCTTATCCACACTAAAAATACATACATACAAATATATATATATATACACACACACACACACATATATTTATATATATATTCCATAGAATATATATATACATATATGTATGTACATATATATATATACTCCCTTGTATGAAATATATATATAAATGTACGTATGTACATATATATATATATTCTCCCTTGTATGGAATATATATATAAATGTACGTATGTACATATATATATATATATTCTCCCTTGTATGGAATATATATATAAATGTACGTATGTACATATATATATATATATTCTCCCTTGTGTGGAATATATATATGTGTACGTATGTACATATATATATACATTCTCCCCTGTATGGAATATATATATAAATGTATGTATGTACATATATATATATATATATATTCTCCCCTGTATGGAATATATATATAAATGTACGTATGTACATATATATATATATATTCTCCCCTGTATGGAATATATATATATATGTACGTATGTACATATATATATATATATTCTCCCCTGTATGGAATATATATATATATACGTATGTACATATATATATATATATATTCTCCCCTGTATGGAATATATATATAAATATACATATGTACATATATATATATATATATATTCTCCCCTGTATGGAATATATATATAAATATACGTATGTACATATATATATATATTCTCCCCTGTATGGAATATATATATAAATATATGTATGTACATATATATATATATATTCTCCCCTGTATGGAATATATATATAAATATACGTATGTACATATATATATATATATATTCTCCCCTGTATGGAACATATATATAAATATACGTATGTACATATATATATATTCTCCCCTGTATGGAACATATATATAAATATACGTATGTACATATATATATATTCTCCCCTGTATGGAACATATATATAAATATACGTATGTACATATATATATATATTCTCCCCTGTATGGAATATATATATAAATATACATATGTACATATATATATATATTCTCCCCTGTATGGAATATATATAAATATACGTATGTACATATATATATATATATTCTCCCCTGTATGGAATATATATATAAATATACATATGTACATATATATATATTCTCCCTTGTATGGAATATATATATAAATATACGTATGTACATATATATATATATATTCTCCATACAAGGGAATGAAGGGTGTAGAGAAGTTTATTCCTGTTGTTCTGGTTTCTGTTGTTTTTTCTTGAAATCTCTTGAATTCCCGCCAGGTGCGGTGGCTCACGCCCATAATCCCAGCACTTTGGGAGGCCAAGGCGGGTGGATCACGAGGTCAAGAGATCGAGACCATCCGGGTCAACATGGTGAAACCTCGTCTTTACTAAAAATACAAAAAATTAGCTGGGCACGGTGGCGCGTGCCTGTAATCCCAGCTACTCAGGAGGCTGAGGCAGGAGAATTGCCTGAACCCAGGAGGCGGAGGTTGCGGTGAGCCGACATGGCGCCATTGCACTCCAGCCTGGGTAACAAGAGCGAAACTCCGTCTCAAAAAAAAAAAAAAAAAAGGGAAACCAGAAACATTCCTGCTGAATTAAGAGCATAACTTGTGTAGGGCTTCAGGCTCTATAGTACATTGGATAGCGTTGAGTGGCTGTTGCTCTATTAAAAAAATACTTGCTTTTTTTTTTTTATATACAGAGTTTCGCTGTTGTTACCCAGACTGGAGTGCAATGGCGTGATCTGGGCTCACCGCAACCTCCGCCTCCTGGGTTCAAGCAATTCTCCTGCCTCAGCCTCCTGAGTAGCTGGGATTACAGACGCGCACCACCATGCCCAGCTACTTTTTGTATTTTTAGTAGAGACGGGGTTTCACCTTGTTGACCAGGATGGTCTCGATGGTCTTGACCTCGTGATCCACCCGCCTCGGCCTCTCAAAGTACTGGGATTATAGATGTGAGCCACCTCGCCCGGCCTAAAAAAAAACTTTCTATTCTTTGCTCATTTCTGGACCCATGATAACCTAGCCCCTGATATCCTCCCTTTCTCCTGATGGAAGTTAGGACTGTGCATTACCAGGATTCCCAGAAAATTGATGAGCTCTCCTCCTTCACGTTTAAATCCAGTGCGATCATGTTGGGCTCATTATTTCAGAGCTTCTGGCTTGCAGCGAATGACACGAACGAAGTACTTAGTTTTAGCTGAGTGGGGCCAGGGATAGCTCTTCCAAAAAAGTTTTCCCCGGCATTTGTCCACCAAGTAATTATGGAAAGAGCGTGTATTAACCATAAAGAGTCACTAGATGGCGTTTGAGGCGGGTTGCTGAGGCAACTGATTTTGTACACACTGAAACCGCATTCTCAGGAGGCTGTTTTTATCGTTCCTTATCACATTACACACTTCACTCCCCTTCTGTTTTTGGAATTAAGGTGTTTCATTTTCATGTGCAAATCACGTACACGCGGTGCCTTAGTATTTGTTCATTCCCCGACCTCAAATGCCATGGATGTAAGCTTCAGTATGGGCGTGAGTCCCCCACACGTTGGGAGGCGGTGGTGGGTGGATCACTTGAGGTCAGGAGGTTGAAACCAGCCTAGCAAACATGGTGAAACCTCATCTCCACTAAAAATACAACAGAATTAGCTGGGCCTAGTGGTGCCTGCCTGTAATCACAGGTACTTGGGAGGCTGAAGCAGGAGAACTGCTTGAACCTGGGAGATGGAGGTTGCAACCAGTGCACTCCAACCTGGGTGACAGCAAAATTTCATCTCAAAAACAAAAAAGAAAAAGGCCGGCTGCGGTGGCTCATGCCTGTAATTCCAGCACTTTGGGAGGCCAAGGCCGTCTAATCACCTGAGGTCAGCAGGTTGAGACCAGACTAACATGGAGAAACCCCGTCTCTAGTAAAAATACAAAATTAGCTATGCTTGGAGGTGCATGGCTGTAGTCCCAGCTACTCGAAATGCTGAGGCTGGAGAATTGCTTGAACCCAGGAGGCGGAGGTTGCAAAGAGCCGAGATTGTGCCATTGCACTCCAGCCTGGACAACAAGAGCAAAACTCCTTCTCAAAAGAAAAGAAAAAAAGAGTTTTTCTGCAAAGTATTAGGAAAACTAAGCAACCCCACAGATGAGTCCTGGGACCGTATTCCCTTGTTGTGGAGTGATAAAATAACCTTCCTTGAAGTGTCTCAGTCTGTAACCAATCAAGTTGCTGCAACCTATGCACTGGTCTTGAAAGGAAAATGTGGTGATTCTGCTGAAGCTTCTCTGTCTTTCCCTATGCCTGTGAAACCTTAATGTCTCTACTGTGGAACGCTGATCCCATTCATTTGGAGTTGATGTTTCCAGGTGGCTGTCTTTTTTTTGAGATGGAGTTTCACTCTTGTTACCCAGGCTGGAATGCAGTGGTGCGATCTCGGCTCACTGCAACCTCCGCCTCCTTGGGTTCAAGCAGTTCTTTTGCCTCAGCCTCCCGAGTAGCTGGAATTACAGGCACGCGCCCCAGGTGGCTATCTTTAAGCTTAGTGTTCAAATAAACTCTATACTTAATCATATATATATATCCTTTTTTCGTTTGTTTTGTTTTTTGAGATGGAGTTTCGCTCCTGTTATCCAGGCTGGAGTGCAATGGCACGATCTCGGCTCACCGCAACCTCCCCCTACTGGGTTCAGGCAATTCTCCTGCCTCAGCCTCTTGAGTAGCCGGGATTACAAGCACGCGCCACCATGCCCAGCTAATTTTTTGTATTTTTAGTAGAGACAGGGTTTCACCATGTTGACCAGGATGGTCTCGATCTGTTGACCTCGTGATCCATTCGCCTCGGACTCCCAAAGTGTTGGGATTATAGGAGTGAGCCACCGCGCCCGGCCCATATATATATATATTTTTTTGAGATGGAGTTTCACTCTTGTTGTCCAGGCTGGAGTGCAGTGGTGTGATATCAGCTCACTACAACCCCTGCCTCCTGGGTTCAAGCGGTTCTGCCTCAGCCTCCCCAGTAGCTGGGATTCCAAGTGCCCCCCACCCCTACCGCACCTGGCTCATTTTTGTGTTTTTAGGATAGATGGCTTTTGCCATGTTGGCCAGGGTGTTCTCAAACTCCTGACCTCTGGTGATCTGTCAGCCTCCGAAAGTGGTGGGATTACAGGCATGAGCCACTGCATTCGGCCTTTAGTTGTATTTATATATTTTTTGAGTGAGCTGGAGTATCTTTCTGTTGCCCAAGCTGAAATGCCCTGGTTTAATCTTAGCTCACTGCATCCTCTGCCTTCTGGGTTGAAGCAATTCCTTTTTTTTTTTTTTTTTTTTTTTTTGAGATGGAGTTTCGGTCTTGTTACCCAGGCTGGAGTACAATGGCGCGATCTCGGCTCACTGCAACCTCCGCCTTCTGGGTTCAGGCAGTTCTCCTGCCTCAGCCTCCTGAGTAGCTGGGATTACAGGCACGCGCCACCATGCCCAGCTAATTTTTTGCATTTTTAGTAGAGATGGAGTTTCGCCAAATTGACGAGGATGGTCTCGATCTCTTTACCTAGTGATCCACCCGCCTCAGCCTCCCAAAGTGCTGGGATTACAGGCTTGAGCCACCGCGCCCGGCTGAAGCAACTCTTCTACCTCAGTCTCCCGAGTAGCTGTGGATGTGCCCTCTTAAGGTTTTCACTTATAATCTACTCAGTGCAGTTAATTCAAGTGTGTGTGACGTGATGTGGTGTGTGCATGAGCACATGGATGGATAAGCCCATGGATTCTGTAGAAGACGCATCATTTGAAATAAGTTTTAGTTTTATAATGATTGAAATGATGTTGGGTATTTCCCATTGTCCTCAGCTATCACCAGAATTACTTAAAAGCAAGAAGGCTTGGGCCAAGCACAGTGTCTCACACCTTTAATTCCAGCACTTTGGGAGTCTGCAGTGGGCAGATTACTTGACATTCGAAATTTGAGACCAGCGTGGCCCACATGGTGAAACATGTCTACTAAAATTTCAGAAATTATCTGGTCGTGGTGGCGGGCACCTGTAATTTCAGCTACTGGAAAGCTGAAGCAAGAGAACCATTTGAATTCAGGAGGCACAGGTTGCAGTGAGCTGAGGTCACACCACTGAGCTCCACCCTGGGTGACAGACTGAGACACTGCCAAGAAACAAAAGGCAAGAAGGGTGATAAAGGGTTGCATGCACGCCTGGGTGAATATTCAGTGACATTTTACAACGCTCCATGTTCCCACCCTCTGACTTCTCTCACTTCTCCCCACTAGGTAAACCACTGTCAATGTAGATGTGATGCTGTGTCTGGTATTTAGCGGGTTGTATTCCAAGCTGAATCTCAGACAATCTGGATTCAGGTGTTTTATTGACATTTTTAGCTGTTTGATTTGTGGCCACTTTCCCAGAGTGTGTGTGAGGCAGTTCTCTCCAAGTCCAGATCTTCCTTCATGGGACGAAGGACGAAGTTTATGGCCGAGGACATGGGAAGCACGTGAAACAGAGTTTAGCACATGGGAAGCGTTCAAAACTGTCAGTCATTACTACTGCTATGATCATGACAGTTTTTAGATTCTGGCTTTCCTTTTTCTTTTTTTTAGAAGGAGTTTCACTTTATCACTAAGCTAGATTGGAGTGGTGCGATCTCTGCTCACTGCCGCCACCTTTACCTCCCATGTTCAAACAATTCTGCCTCAGCCTCACAAGTAACTGAGACCACAGGCACCTGTCCCCGCACCCAACATATTTTTTGCATTTTCAGTAGACTCGGGGTTGTTAGCCAGGATGGTCTCGATCTCGTGACCTCTTGATTGGCTCGCCTCGGCCTCCCAAAGTGTTGGGATTACAGGCATGAGCCACTGCCTGGCCTTATTGATTCATTGATTGATTGATTGAGGCAGACTTATTGTTGCCCCGGCTGGAGTGCCATGGCGCAGTCTGGGTTCAAGCTATTCTCTGCTGCCTCCCAGGTTCAAGCTATTCTCTCCTGCCTCAGCCTCCTGAGTAGCTGGAATTACAGGCACCTGTCACCATGCCCAGATAATTTTTTAATTTTTAGTAGAGTCGGTGTTTCACCATTCTGGCCCTGCTGCCCTCCAACTTCTGACCTCAGTTGATTCGCCCTCCACAGCCTCCCAAAGTGCTGGGATTACAGGCGTGAGCCACTGCACCCAACGCTGACTTTCTTTTCTCTCTTTTTTTTTTTTTGAAATGGAGTTTGCTCTTCTCGCACAGGCTGGAGTGCAATGGCTCGATCTTGACCAACTGCAACCTCTGCCCCCAGGGTTCAAGCGATTATTTTGCCTTAGCCACCCGAGTAGCTGGGATTACAGGCACCTGCCACCATACCTGGCTAATTTTTTGTATTTTTAGTAGCAGAGAAGGGTTTTCACTATGTTGGCCACACTGGTCTCAAACTCCTAGCCTCAGGTGATCTACCCGCCTTGGCCTCCCAAAGAGCCGGGATTACAGGCGTGAGTCACTGCACCCCGCCCTGAGTTTCTTTTCTTCTTTTCTAAAAGTCCATTGGACTTTGTCGACTCTGAGACAGCATTTGTATTTTACCTCATCTAGATAATGAACATCACGTGTTATTTTGAACATACAATCTCTATAGAGAAAACACTGTATTTGTTATTTTTCTTTTTGGTGACTTTTTTTTTATTGCATTTTAGTTTTTTTTTTCTTGTTAATTGTTATTTCTAATTTGTTGCTGTTGTTAAGACAAGTCGCTCTGTCGCCCAGGCTGGGGTTCAGTGGCGCCGTTAGCTAACTACAACCTCCACCTTCCAGGGTCAGGTGATTTTCCTGCCTCAGCATCCCGAGTAGCTGGGATTACAGACACGCAACACTACGCTCGCCTAATTTTTGTGTATATTTAGTAGAGACGGGGTTTCACCATGTTGGCAAAGTTGGTTTCGAACTCCTGACCTCAAGTGATTGGCCCGCCTCTGCCTCCCAGAGTGCTAAATTGCAGGCATGCGCCACCGCGCACGGCCAACTAAAATTAATTTCAATAGCAAAGAATTTTCCTGGATTCCACGTTGACTTCTCAGGAAGGTGCTATTTCCCAGATGGCTGAGCTGCTCCAGCTCATTGACGGGTTTCCTTTCCATAACTCGGAAAAAAGGCGCCCAGAGCGAGATGGAGGGAAGCTCAGGCCCTGCCCCCTCCTCGCCCCCGCGGACTTCTCACAGTCCAGGCATCTCCTCTCCCGCGTCCCGCCGCTGCACCTTAGGGCCCTGCTCCGGCCACGCTCAGGCTCCGGCCACCACTTTTTGACCCCTCCCGGCCTTGGTCAGGCCCCGCCCAACTCCTCAGCGGCCCCGCCCCGGTCTGGCTTCTGTCCTGCGCTGATTGGTTCGGACCGGGAAGCGGATGGCGTCGACTGAAAGTCTCCCCGCGGCAGGTGAGTTTTGGTCTTTCTTTTCCTGTCTGCGCTTCCCAAGCTCCTGGTGCTGCTGTACTGGGGACTTGGGATCCCCACAGACCTGGAAATTCCATCCCCTGTTAACCCAGAGCAAATCGAGACGTCCGGGTGAGAGTACGTGCGTCGCCCTGAGGCTGGTCCTCACCGGGTTTTCTGCCCCGGGGCCGTGCACACACTTCCTATAGGGAATGTTCCTGCTGAACACCCTTCCTTTCCCCTTCTCTCACCTCGCGCTGTTTCAAGTCCTCACCCGCCAGCTGGATTCCCTTGCTGGGCCTCCCAGCCTCACTCTCGTGGGTCCTTTGAGTGCAGCACCGCAGCCTGGTCCCGAGGAGGCTCATTTTCTGCCTGGTTCTCAGAACATGCAGACCCCACTCCTGTCCTAAGGCGCCATGGCCCTCAAACCTCCCTCACGCCGGGCCCTGCTGCTCCCCATTTCCAACCCTTGAAAAATGTGCTCTTCCTGGAGGCCCTCTTACCCCATCCTCTTCCTGTTTTACCTGAAGGCAGCCTTGAGTGTGAGATGTTCAGGTTCTTGGCTGTTGAACATGGAATTGAAAAAAAGAAAAAACCCACAAAGTAACAAAAGAAGAAAGCCGCAAGAGCAGGAATTTATTCAATCACGAAAGCACTTCACGGGGTGGGAGTGGACCCAAGCGAGCGTCTCTAGGGCCCCGTTTGCAAAGTTCTGGGAGTTAACGTTTCTGTTGAATTCCTATGGGCTACCTCTTATTTGGAAGAAAAATTTGGTCCTTGGCCAATGAAAAGTTAAGGTGAACTGACCCGAGACCAGAGCAGATGGGTGCCCTATGCAGAAGGGGGGGCCGGTGCTTGGCCGTGGCCAGTCCTGGGCTCTTTCCTTTTCCATCTGAGACGTGTTGGAAGCGGGAGGGCTGTAGGGAGAGTGGCCTTTGATCCTTTGTTACTCCATGCGGGGAGATGGGGTTTTTTTTTTGGTCTAGTTTTGGAAAGTTCGTGTTAATTGGGCCTTAGATTCCCTGCCCCCAGACCCAGGACCCCTTAGATTCCCTGCCTCAAAACCCAGGACCCAGGTTTTTCCCTTTTCTTTTTTATTGGAGATGAGTCTTCTTACCCAGGAGGGACGTTACCCAGGAGGGAGAGCGGGATGACAGGATCACAGCTCACTACAGTGTCAACCTCCTGTGCTTAGTAGGGATCCTCCCACCTCAGCTTCCACGGTAGCTGCAACCACGCATAAGCGCCACCACACCGTGCTAATTTCTGTGTTCTTGGTAGAGACGGGCTTTTGCTATGTTGCCCAGGCTGGTCTCCAACTCCAGCCGCATCAGCCTGACAAAGCGCTGCTGGGTTTACAGTCCTCAACCTCCTGATTAGCTGGGACTTTAGGTGAGTGCCACCATGCCCAGCTAATTTTTGTATTTTTAGTAGAAACCGGGTTTCACCATGTTGTCCAGGTTGGCCTCAAACTCCTGAGCTCAGCTTATCTGCTTGTTTTGGCCTCCCAAAATTCTGGGATTACAGGCGTAAGTCACCACACGTGGCCAGTCGTGGCATTTTTTAGAGGAAGATGACCATTATTACATTATGTTTTCCTCTTTTATTTTTTTTTTTGAGACGGAGTTTGCTCTTGTTTACCCAGGCTGGAGTGCAATGGTGCGATCTCGGCTCACCGCAACCTCCACCTCCTGGGTTCAGGCAATTCTCCTTTCTCAGCCTCCCGAGTAGCTGAGATTATAGTCACCCACCAGAATGCCCAGATAGTTTTCTGTATTTTTAGTAGAGACAGCCACCCCTTCTGCATCTGGCTCCGAACTGCTCTGGCCTCAGGCCAATTCACCTCAGCACCCACCAGCACGCCCAGCTGATTTTTTGTATTTTGAGTAGTTTGCAGAAATGGTCTCAACCTCCTGACCTTGTGATTCACCCATGTCAGCCTTCAAAAGTGTTGGAATTATAGGCCTGAGCCCCTGTACCTGGCTATTGCTTCATTTTAACTCAAATTATAAATGGATTCTAGTCCTCCAAAAATTAAAAAAAAAGCACAAGAAGCACTAAAACAGGGGATTAGATTCAAATCACCTTGAACCTTATCATCTCATGGCTTTCACCCACCTACCTGGCTCCGTGCCCCCTGCAAGCCTTTGCCCTGAGTGCTACAATCCTTGTCCACTTGTCTCCTCTGCTATCTGCTGGGACATCACACAAGCATCTCCACCTTCACATGTCCGTAAGTGACTCCTAAACCCACAAACACATTCCCTTGCGGTCTGCACATCTCAGATGAGGGTGACTGTGTACTTCCGGGAACTTTGCTGAACTTGACAGCATGTATTTTAAATATGGGAAATAATTTATAACATAAAGAGGAAATTACATGTATATGTGAAAGGAGTGAGAAGGTACATCGCTTCCTGAATTATGATTTTTGTTTTGTTTTTTGTTTTTTTTTTGAGATGGAGTTTCGCTGTTGTTACCCAAACTGGAGTGCAATGGCAGGATCTCGGCTCACCGAAACCTCCGCCTCCTGGGTTCAAGCAATTTTCCTGCCTCAGCCTCCCGAGTAGCTGGGACTACAGGCGCGACCCACCATGCCCAGCTAATTTTTGTATTTTTAGTAGAGACGGGGTTTCACCTTGTTGACCAGGATGGTCTCGATCTCTTGACCTCGTGATCCACCCTCCTCAGCCTCCCAAAGTGCTGGGATTATAGGCGTGAACCACCGTGCCCGGCTGAATTATGATTTTTTTTTTGTAACGAGTTTTGTCGTCCAGGATGGAGTGCAGTGCTTCTATGTCAGTTCACTGCAACCTCTGCCTCCCAGGTTCAAGTGAGTCTCCTGCCTCAGTCTCTCAAATAGCTGGTATTACAGGTGCACACTACCCACAATAAGCTAATTTTGTATTTTTAGTAGATACTGAGTTTCACCGTGCTGGACAGGCTGCTCTTGAACTCCTGACCTCTGGTGATTCACCTGACTTGGCTTCCCAAAGTGCTGGGATAACTGACTTGAGCTCTGCCACTGGCCTTTTTCTTTTGTTTTGAAATGGACTTTTGCTCTTGTCGCCCAGGCTGGAGTGCTGTTGTGCGTTCTGAAATCTGCACCTTCCAGGTTGAATTGATCTCTTGCCTCAGCCTCCCAAGTAGCTGTGATAACAATTGAGTGCCAAAATTCTTCTGGGTTGTGGGAGAAAAAAGTTTGAAGACCTTGTTTCTATGGACAGATCTGTGCCCCCAGGACCTCCCTGACCTCATCTCCTACCTGTGCCCTCCTCCCTCCCACTGCTCCAGCCACACACGAGTTCTGTCTTTTTCGTGGGGCTGAGGTTCCTCCTCTGTCAGGGCCTTCACTTGAGCTGTCTCTGCCTAGGACTCTGGCCCCTTAGCTGCAAGTGACAAGCAGCCTTTCTTCCCTAGGTCTTTTGTTCTGATATCACCTTCTCTGTGGAAACCTTTGTGATCTCCCACAGCCCCCATTTGACATTGCATCTGTGAAGCCAAAAAGCTTCAGACAGATCTCAATTTAAAAAGATTCTTCTGCCAAGGTTGAGGCCGTACCCATGACACAGCCTCAGGAAGTCCTGGCGACATGTGCCCAAGGTGGTGGTGGCACAGCTTAATTTTATACATTTTAGAGAGACATGAGTCATCAGTCAATATATGGAAGAGGTTCATTGGTTTGGTCTGGAAAGGTGGGAAAACTTGAAGCAAAGGCAAAAAGACTTTAAGCAGGGAGGGGGCTTCCAAGTAAGTGACACACAAATACCACATGTCCCAGGTGATAGTAATCTGTGCAGCACTGAGGGTCAAGGCTCTGTGTCCTCCATTTCTGAAGGCTGAGCTGCACCTGTGATCCACAGAGAGGGAAGGGGCTGTGCTCTGGGTGGGATTTGGTCAGGGCTGGGTCTGTGCTCTGAAGGGGAGCTCAGTCCAGCCCAGCTCCTCACTGCTGCCTGGTGTGTGAGGCTTCTCCAGGAGGGGAGTGAGATCTGAAGTACACTTGTAGGTCTTCCTGTGGGACTGTCTTAACACTGCATGATCTCTGGTGCAGTGTGCAGCAGAGGCCCGTCTTTCTACAGGGTGAGGTGTCCCCTCTGTATGTATTTTTGTGACACTCACAGGAAGGGAGTGAGTCATTGCTAACATTACGTCTTATATATTTTTTCACATACAGGATTGATTTCTAAAGACTCATGTTACGTGAGGAAGCAGCTCAGAAGAGAAAAGAAAAGGAGCCAGGCATGGCTCTTCCTCAGGTAAAGTGACACTCCTCGGTGGGTTCATCTCTTTCCTTTCTGAAATGCCAGGTATTATAGTAGCCAGTCTGTTCTGAGTCTGAAGCGTCCTGCCTGACACGTTGGCTCGCACTCACCTGTGCCTTCCCTGAGTTCCTGTCATCTGCTGAGATTCCATATTCTGTGACCCAGTGACATACACCTGGGAAGAGGCTCCACTGGGCATAATCATGGGAAGGGCTGACACCAGACCTGGATGGACATGGGGGTTGGGTCCCCCGGTGTCAGTGCTGCTGGGCAGCCTGGATTGTTCAGGGGCCACCTCTGGGTATCAGCTCTTTGTGAACCAGAGAAACTATGTATGAAACACATGGGTTAATATGCACAGATGTCTGGTAAATTCTGGAAAAGGAGACCAATAAGTGGAGATATTTTGTATCTGATTTGGTAATTCAGTGTGGAGATATTTTGTATCTGATTTGGTAATGCAGTGGAAGCCACACTGGTAGATCAACATGTCTCTGACTCCAAACTTTGTTTTTTATTTTTTTTTTTTGAGACGGAGTTTCGCTCTTGTTACCCAGGCTGGAGTGCAATGGCGCAATCTTGGCTCACCACAACCTCCGCCTCCTGGGTTCAGGCAATTCTCCTGCCTCAGCCTCCCGAGCAGCTGGGATTGCAGGCACGCACCACCGTGCCCAGCTAATTTTTTGTAATTTTAGTAGAGACGGGGTTTCACCATGTTGACCAAGATGGTCTCGATCTGTTGACCTCGTGATCCACCCGCCTCGGCCTCCCAAAGTGCTGGGATTACAGGCTTGAGCCACCACGCCCGGCCTGTTTTTTATTTTTTAAGATACAGGATATTAGTTTGAGTGCAGTAGCTCACACCTGTAATCCCAGCATGTTGGGTGGTCACGGCAGATAAATCACTTGGGCTCTAGAGTTCAAGACCAGCCAGGCCAACATGGTGAAACCCCATCTCTACTAAAAATACAAAAATTAACAGGGTATGCTGGCACATGCTTGTAATAATCTCAGGTACTCAGGAGGTGGAGGCAGGAGAATTACTTAAACATGGGAGGTGGAGGTTACAATAAGCCGAGATTGTGCCATTGCACTCCAGGCTGGGTGACTGAGTGAGAGTTCATCTCAAAAGCAATAAACAGAAGGTGTCGCTCTGTGGCTTAGGTGTGGAGGACACTGGCAGGATTTAATGTTTACAGCAGCCTCAACTCCTGGGCTCAAGTGATTTCTTCTTTGGTCTCTCAAAGAGCTAGAATGGTAGGCATGTCCCACCACACACGGCCAGTATTTCTTTCTTTTTCTTTTTTTTTTTTTAGTCTTGCTTTGCTATCGAAGCTAAAGTGCAGTGGTGTGATATTGGCTCACTTCAAGCTCCACCTTCTGGGCTCAAGTGATACTTCTGCCTCAGCCTCCTGAGTAGCTGAGACTACAGGCGCGTGCCACCACATTGGCCTATTTTTGTATTTTTAAAAATTTTTATTTTGTGTTTTTAATAGAGACTGGGTTTCGCCATGTTGCCCACACTGGTCTTGAACTCCTCATCTAATGATCTGATCACCTTGGCCTCCCGAAGTGCTGGGATTACACGTGTGAGCACAGCTCTGTGTTTTCTTCTTCTTTGTATATTTTTCATATTTGCGAGTAACCCCCCATGTCGGTACTGAGGAAGGAGAGCTAAGCAGAATCCTGGTACAATTAAGGCCTGAATAATATCTCAGTTTATAGCGTTACTACTCAGTTATTTTTCTTGATATAGTCATGTAATAGTTTATAGAATTAGGACTTGAAGAATTCTTAATTTAAATGTCACTACCCAGTTATTTCCCTTTATATAATCCTCTATATATTATCATATGTTAGTTCATAGATTGAGTGCCTGAAGAATATCTTACCACTCAGTTACTTCCCTATATAAGTATATCTTAGTTCACAATCAGAGGAATGCCTGGAGTGGACACAGTACAGAGCACGAATTAAGGAATAAGCAGCTTATAGTTGGAGGAATGCCTGGAGTGGACGCAGTGCAGAGCATGATTTAAGGGAAAAATAGTTATACCAGGACAAGAACCCATGGCCCAGGTGGCAGCATTCAGTAACGGAAAGATACCCACTGTATGTATATCAGGCTTGGGGCGAGAGCCACTCCTCCTGATGAAGGAGTTGTAGGACCTTGCTCCACTTCTTGTGCAAGGCGTCCCTCAGACCGGCAATCCACCTTGGTGACTGTGAACTTTATCAGCTCTTGCTACTGTGCTGCTTGAAAAGCATCTTCCCATAGTACCCTTTGGAAGCTGCCAGCTGGTGGCGATAGACCCTGACAGCTCTGTCACCGCTGTGTGACTTGAATCATCCTCCTATAAATCTTCTTAGAAGTAGCATGCCCATAGATAGAAGTATTGCACACTGCACCCTCTTCACTGCGCACGGCCCACCTTCAAGCCTCGGTGACCTAATGGGGGTGGACCCCTTACTGCACACAGCCCTTGCCTTGATGGGAATGGGTCCCTTGCTGTGCACTGTCCACCTCCTGGCCTAGGTGACCTAATGGGGGTGAACCCCATGTTTTATTGCTCATGACCCTATCACTATCCTTAAAGATGATTTCACTCACTGCCCTGCCTGCTAACCTATACACAATAAATACTCACGCTTCTGGACATTCAGGGCCTCGCCTGACTCCACTTATAGGTGGTGTGGCCCCTCCTGAGTCCAGCTATGTTTTCCTTGTACTTCTGTGTCCTGTCTCTTTATTTCTCGGATCCTGCGCCTCAGCACAGCATAAGGGACACCCCATGACCCTGTGGGGTCCTCAACCCTACAATATTGTCCATAAAATCAAGATTTCCACAGTGACTTAGGGGATCTTAAAATCTTTCATGAAAAAGTGCAGTAAAATGCATCTATAGAGAAAAAATGTTCAAAAACAACTTGCCGTAGGTTTGTCAGAACAGTCTGATGAAATGGATACTTAATTTTTCTTTTCTCACTTAGTGTGAAGGTGATAACTCACTCCTGCTTAATTTTTTGTTGAAATGTGTTTTTCATTTTAGGGACGCTTGACTTTCAGGGATGTGGCTGTAGAATTCTCTTTGGCAGAGTGGAAATGCCTGACCCCTGTGCAGAGGGCTTTATACAGGGACGTGATGTTGGAGAACTACAGGAACCTGGAGTCTGTGGGTGAGGAAAACGTCCCTCCAGACACGAGGAATCTGCCCTTGTCCATCTTGGCTCTTCCTGGTTTGTATTCTCTGTTATGATTTTGCCCTATACATGTTCTTTTTGTTTGTTTGTTTGTTTTTTGTTTTTGTTTTTGAGATGTAGTTTTGCTCTTCCTGACCAGGCTGGAGTGTAATCGTGTGATATCAGCACATTGCAACCTCTGCCTCCCTGGTTGAAGTGATCCTCCCGCCTCAGCCTCCTAAGTAGCTGGGATTCTGGGCATGTAATACCACAAACAGCTAATTTTTTTTTTTTTTTTTTGAGACAGAGTCACCTGGCACCAGGCTGGAGTCCAGTGGCACAATCTCAGCTCACTGCAACCTCCGCCTCCCAAGTTCAAGAAATTGTCCTGCCTCAGCCTCCCAAGTAGCTGGGACTACAGGTGCACAGCACCACGCCCAGCTAAATTTTGTATTTTTAGTAGAGATGGGGTTTCACCATGTTGGCCGGGATGGTCTCGATCTCTTGACCTCCTGATCCACCCACCTCAGCCTCCCAAAGTGCTGGTATTACAGGCTTGAGCCACTACACTTGGCCACACGGCTAATTTTTGTATTTTTAGTAGAGACAGTGTTTCATTACGTTGGCCAGGCTGGTCTTGACCTCCTGACCTCAGGTGATCCATCCACCTCTGCCTCTCAAAGTACTGGGATTATAGGCCTGAGCCACCATGCCTGGCCTATGAACATATTTTTGATGAAACATTTTGGTTGAGTTGATGTCTTTATGAGGATATGAGGGTCTGGCTTTTGCTAGTCTGTAATCTTCACTTTTCATCTCTCATTTATTCCAGAGATTGCATTTAAAATCTAGAGATGTGATTTCAAATAATATAGGATCCAGGAAAAGAGACACTATTGTTTTTATAGAAGGAATGAGATTTACTGTTTGATTTTCACATGGCAGACATTTTAGTGAGTGCATTATTGTTTTTCTTCACTAATGTAACTGATCACATGCATAGGCAACAATCTCCATTGGGCTCCGCTTCTTTCTTTTTTTTTTTTTTTTGAGATGGAGTCTTGCTCTGACACCCAGGCTGGAGTGCAGTGGGTGGCATGATCTTGGCTTACTGAAACCTCTGCTTTTCAATTATCCTGCCTCAACCTCCTGAATAGCTGGGATTACAGGCACACACTACCACGCCTGGCTAATGTTTTGTATTTTTATACTAGAAACAGGGTTTGACCATCCTGGCCAGGCTGGTCTCAAACTCCAGATCTCATGATCTACCTGCCTTGACCACCTAAAGTGCTGGGATTACAGGCTGGAATAGACCACGACTGGCCTAGACCTGTTTTCACAAACACATTTCTACCTACCCAGCGAGGGGATCATTCTTCACCCTCACAGTATTCTACATTGCTGTACTCTATTTCATGGAGTTTACTTATTTTTTCATGTGTGTATGGAAATCTGGCACCTACATGGGGATTTTGTTGAGTCTTTGCCTGAAACTAGAAATCAGAGGCCGTTCAATTTAAGAGATGTAAAACTGCCTTCACCTCACGTCACCATACTGCTGCTTTTTTGGCTCTCTTTCATTCTTGTCCCCTGTCTATATTGTAATTTGTATATTTAACCTTGGGTCAACATTTTACCATTTGCTAAATTAGTTCCATTTTCCTCCAGTCTCAAACTTTCGTCTATGCTGGTGGGATCATATTCCCACAGACCAGCCTGCACACAGTTCACTCCTGCATGCCCATTACTTCCTGCCCTCCACCCTTGCCCTTCCTTTCCTGGCCTTGCCTCACATGCTACATTGATCTGGATGCAAAATGCTGCTGCTTTCCAGCCTGTTGATTTGTAATGCTGAACACCCCAATTTCCACATGAGCCCCTTCACTCCAACACGACTCTCACTGAGTAAGTCAGGACCTTATACATCCACTGGACGTAATGATAGGAGGCTGCCTAAATCAGTGTGTGCAGGGCCTGATGACTCAGCACATTCTCCATGAGGGAAGGCCCAGCATCGCTGTCAGCAGCGCAGCTCAGCCCTTGTATCCCCCTTGATGTATTTCTTCCTGTCTCTTTGTACTTTCTGTGACTGATCGTTTTCAGTACTGCCTGGGTGACCGTTGTGCTTAAGAATGTGTCATGGGATCCTTCGGGACCAGGATCAAGTTTTGTTCCTTACTTACTGAATGTATAAATTGGGTCAAGTACCTGAATACTGTGGGCCTGCTGTGCTTATTTGATAAGTAATAGTTTGCCTCCATGTTCTTTTTTTTTTTTTTTTTTTTTTTTTTTATGGAATTTTTCTGTTGTTGCCCAGGCTGGAGTACAGTGGCATAATCTTTGCTCACTGTAATCCCCGCCTCCCTGATTCAATCAATTCTCATGCCTGAGGCTCCCGAGTAGCTGGGCTTACAGGCATGCGCCACCAGACCTGGCTGATTTTGCATTTTTACTAGAGATGTGGTTTCTCCATGTTGGTCAGGCTGGTTTTCAACTCCAGACCTCTGGCGATCCGCCCACCTGGGCCTTTCAAAGTGTTGGGATTACAGGTGTGAGCCAGCACGCCTGGCTGCTTCTAGGTTTTTAAAACAAGTTGATTAGATGTCTTCTCATATTTAAAGTTTTATAGTACAGATTCTAAACTTTCTTTGTTTAATAAGATTTTTCAGCCTTCGACGATGTTGATGATGAGATGCCCATTTTTCTATCTCAGTCATTTCACTGTCATGTCAGAAATAGCTTTGACTGGCTGGCCACAGTGGCTCATCCTCTATTCCCAGCACTTTGGAAGGCTGCGATGATTGGATCACTTCAGGTCAAGAGTTTGAGTCCATTCGGGCCAACATGCTAAAACCTTGAATCTACTAAATACAAAAAGTTGACTGGGTACATTGGCTCACACCTGTAATCCCAGTGCTTTGGTAGGCTAAGAGGGGCAGATAACCTGTGGTCAGGAGTTTGAGACCAGCCTTGCCAACATGGTCAAACCCCATCTCTACTAAAACTACACAAATTAGCTTGGTGTGGTGGCATGCACTTGTAATCCCAGCTACTTGGTAGGCTGAAGCCAAGGAATTATTGGATCTCAGGAGGCGAAGGTTACAATGAGCCTACATCACGCCGCTGCACTCCAGCCTGAATGATGGAGTGAGACTCTCATACACACACACACCCATACACACGCATGTGCACACACACACGCTCACGTGCTCGTGCTCTCTCTCTCTCGCACTCGCGCACGCGCACTCACTCTCTCTCTCCCTCTCTGCCAGGCTGTAGTCTCAGCTACTTGGGAGTCTCCAGCAGGAGAATCTCTTAAGGCAGGACCATCATACCATTACACTTTAGTCTGGGTGACAGAGCGTGACTCAGTCTCAAAAAAAAAAAAAAATAGGTTAAACTGGGAAGCTTAAGACACAGAAATTTATTTATTTTGAATTTAGAAAGTGGGAAATCTAAGAGCAAGGTGCAGGCAAATTGGTTTCTGCTGACAGCCTCCTTTGTGATTTAGCCCAAGCATCTTCCTGCTGTGTTTTGTCTTGGTGGAAAGAGGAATAGTCAACAAGCTCTTTACTGTCTCTTTTTATAAAAGCACTAGTCCTGGCCAGGAGCCGTGGACTTTATATTTTGTGGGTATCTCCTCCAAATGCATAATGAAGAAGTTTTCATCAACAGGGCAAGGCAATACAGAAGTGTTCCACACAGGGACATTGGCAAGACAGGAAAGTCATCACTTTGGAGAGTTTTGCTTCCAGGAGACTGAGGAACATAGTCATAACTTTGAGTTTCAGTGGCAAGAAGCTGAAAGAAATAACCAGGAAGCACCGTGACAACATGTAAAAAGCTGACTGGTAGTACAGACCAATAAGATCAAAGGCATGCCGGAAACAAGCCTGTTAAAGATGAGCTTGGAGTGATCTTTCGTTGGCATCTTCTGAAACTCACATATTTCAGACTGAAGGGAATTCTGGTAATCAGGTTGAGAAGTCTGTTGATGATGCTTCCTTAGTTTCAACATCCCAAATAATTTCTTGTGTAGCCAAAACCCATATATCTAATAACCATGACAGTAATTTCCTCCTTTCTTCATTACTTATACAGAAACAGGAAGTTTCCCACACATGAGAGTGGGAAAGCCTTCAATTGTATCTCATTCTTTTCATTTATTTTTTATTCATTTATTTTTCTTCTTTTCAGCCAACGGCAACCTCAATTGTAGCTCATTCTTAAGGAAACGGATAAAAAACCATTTAGGAAAGAAACAACATGAATGTGATGTGTGTGGCAAGGTCTTTAATAAGAAGCGATATCTTAAAAGCCATCGTAGATGTCACACGGGTGAGAAACCTTACAAGTGTAATGAGTGTGGCAAGACCTTCAGCCACAGGTCATGCGTTCTACGCCATCGCAGAGTTCATACAGGAGAGAAACCTTACAAGTGTAATGAGTGTGGCAAGACCTTCAGTCGGGCGTCATACCTTACATGCCATCGTAGACTTCATACTGGAGAGAAACCTTACAAGTGTAATGAGTGTGGCAAGGCCTTCAGTCAGATGTCATCCCTTGTATACCATCATAGACTTCATACTGGAGAGAAACCTTACAAATGTAATGAGTGTGGCAAGACCTTTCGTCGAAAGTCATCCCTTACATGCCATCGTAGATTTTATTGTGCAGAGAAACCTTACAAGTATGAGTGTGGTAAGACCTACCATGAAATGTCATCTCTTAAATGCCATTGTAGACATCATACTGGAGAGAAACATTACAAGTGTAATGAGTGTGGCAAGACCTTCAGTCGCATGTCATCCCTTACATGCCATCGTAGACTTCATACTGGGGAGAAACCTTACAAGTGTCATGAGTGTGGCAAGACCTTCAGTCAGAACTCATCCCTTACATACCATTGTAGACTTCATACTGGAGAGACACCTTACAAATGTGAAAAATGTGACAAAGGTTTCACTCGCAAATCACACCTTGAAATGCATAAGATAATCCATACTGGAGAGAAACCATACAAATGTATGGTTTGTGATAAGGCTTTTGCATATAATTCATACCTGGCAAAACATGCTAGAATTCACACTGGAGAGAAACCTTACAAGTGTGACGAGTGTGGCAAGACCTTCAGTCATACGTCATCCCTTACATGCCATCATAGGCTTCATACTGGAGAGAAACCTTACAAGTGTCACGAGTGTGGCAAGAAATTCCATCAGATGGCATCCCTTAGATACCATTGTAGTAGACTTCATACTGGAGAGAAACCTTACAAGTGTAATGAGTGTGGCAAGGCCTTCAGTCAGATGTCATCCCTTACATGCCATCGTAGACTTCATACTGGAGAGAAACCTTACAAGTGTCACGAGTGTGGCAAGAAATTCCATCAGATGGCATCCCTTAGATACCATTGTAGTAGACTTCATACTGGAGAGAAACCTTACAAGTGTAATGAGTGTGGCAAGGCCTTCACTCAGATGTCATCCCTTGTACACCATCGTAGACGTCATACTGGAGAGAAACCTCACAAGTGTAATGAATGTGGCAAGGGTTTTGTTAAAAAGGAACACCTTGTACGTCATCATAGACTTCACACTGCAGAGAAACCTTACAAGTGTAATGAGTGTGACAAGGCCTTCAGTCACACGTCATCCCTTGTATACCATCGTAGATGTCATACTGGAGAGAAACCTTACAAGTGCAATGAGTGTGGCAAGACCTTCAGTCAGATATCATATCTTGTATACCATCGTAGACTTCATACTGGAGAGAAACCTTACAAGTGTAATGAGTGTGACAAGACCTTCAGCCACCCGTCATCCTTTGTACGCCATCGTAGATTTCATACTGGAGAGAAACTGCAAGTGTAATGAGTGTGACAAGACCTTCAGCCACCTGTCATCCTTTGTATGCCATCGTAGGTTTCATACAGGAGAGAAACTTTAATGAGTGTGACAAGAGCTTCAGCCACCCGTCATCCTTTGTATGCCATCGTAGATTTCATACAGGAGAGAAACTGCAAGTGTAATGAGTGTGGCAAGACCTTCATTCAAAAGTCACACCTTACATACCATAGTGGACTTCATACTAGAGAGACCTTACAGATGTAAGGTTTGTGACAAGGCTTTCTAGCATGATTCATACCGGGCACAAAATACTAGAATTCACACTGGAGACAATCCTTAAAATTGTAATGAGTGTCCAAGACCGTCAGTAGTAATTCATCCCCTGTAACTGACAACCTCTCACACCTGCCTTGTACAACAACTATCCCCCTCTCCAATGTGAAGATCCAGTGTGCCCAGCCCCCAGCATCTTCTTCCTCTGCAGCAGCAGGTAGACAAACGTATGTTTAGGTGCAAACTGGAGAGGGGTGTGTATCCGGGCATTCCTAACCCCAGAACTCTCAGTTTCCATGGACCAAGAAATTAAAATGATTTTAAGTCCTCACTACTATTGGTCCAAGTGAGCTGTGTTACTTCCCCTCCTAGTAGGAACTGGCACAGCAGCTGGGATAGGCACCAGAATAGGAAGCATCAGCACTTCAGCCCGTTTCTGTCATAAACTGTTCCAGGAACTCAATGATGACATGGAAAGAGTGGCCAATTCCCTGAACTCCCTCCAGAACCAGTTAAATTCCCTAGCTGCAGTAGTGCTACAGCAGTGCTATTGCAGGGCCTTCAGCTTACAGCGCAGAAGGGAATTACCTGCCTCTTCTACAGGAAGGGTGTTGCTACCATGTCAGTCAGGAATAGAAACAGGAAAAGTTAAAGAGCTAAGGGACCACATTCAAAGGCAGCACACAGTCAGCAGCTGGAGCTTCCCAGGGCTCAGAACCTGGATCCACTGGGCTCTTCCCCTCCTTGGGCCTTTACTAGTAATCTTCCTGGCCCTTACCTTTGGTCCCTGTATGATTAACATACTGTAGTGCTTCACGGAAGCCACAGTTGTCAGACAACTGCCCAGTTGCTAGCCTTTTGGGGGTACAAGCCCCTGAGCACAGATGTTAATTTGTAAAAGGCGATGCTCCACATGTAACATAAAGAGCATCAAAGGGATGAATGAGATGGAAGGCCTGTGTGAAAGGCCTCTAAGGAAAATTTCCTGAGTGTCTAAGATAGCTGCCTCAGCTACCTTACCTGCTTTTGTGCTTATGTACATCTGCTTCCTGCTTACTAGCGAAAAAGCCCCCTGCACAATTGCTACATTGCCTGAAAATCGTGAGTTACTTCCCCTATTTCTAACCTATAAGAACTATGTACTGACACAGGCTGGGGTCCAGACTTTTGGGTGCTCACCTGTCTGGGCCCACTGGTGTAATCAACTGTGGTCCTCTGACACTCTGAGTGCCGTTTGGGTTTCTTGTCAGGAGAAATTCCAGGAACAGCATTGCAAAATTTTGATTTTTTTTTTCATTCAGATGAAGTTTCCCTCTGTCACCAGCCAAAAGTGCATGGTGCAATCTCAGCTCACTGCAACCCCTGCCTCCCCATTTGAAGCAATTCTGCCTCAGCCTTCTGAGTAGTTGGGCCTACAAGTACCAGCCACCATGACCAGATAATTTCTATTTCTAGGTCCTTGAGGAATCGCCACACTGTCTTCCACAATGGTTGAACTAATTTACACTCCCACCAGCAGTGTAAAAGTGTTCCAATTTCTCCACATCCTCTCTGGCATCTTTTGTCTCCAGACTTTTTAATGATTGCCATTCTAACTGGCATGAGATGGTATCTCAATGTAGTTTTGATTTGCATTTCTCTAATGACCAGTGATGATGAGCATTTTTTCATATGTTTGTTGGCCTCATGTATGTCTTCTTTTGTAAAGTGTTTGTTCATATCCTTTGCCCACTTTTGAATGGGCTTGTTTTTTTCTTGTAAATCTGTTTTAGTTCTTTGTAAATTCTGGATATCGGCCCTTTGTCAGACGGGTAGACTGCAAAATTTTTTTCCCATTCTTGGTTGCCAATTCACTCTAATGACTGTGGATCTTTGGCCGTGCAGCAGCTGTGGAGTTTGATTAGGTCCAATATGTCTGTTTTGGCTTTTGTTGCCAATGCTTTTGGTGTTTTGGTCATGAAGTCCTTGCCTATGCCTATGTCCTGAATGGTTTTGCCTAGATTTTCTTCTAGGGTTTTTATGGTGTTAGGTCTTATGTGTAAGTCTTTAATCCATCTGGAGTTAATTTTAGTGTAAGGTGTCAGGAAGGGGTCCAGTTTCTGCTTTCTGCACATGGCTAGCCAGTTTTCCCAACACCATTTATTAAATAAGGAATCCTTTCCCCATTGCTTGTTGTTGTCAGGTTTGTAAAAGATTGGATGGTTGTAGATATGTTGTGTTGCCTCCACGGCCTCTGTTCTGTTCCCTTGATCTATATCTCTGTTTTGGTACCAGTACCATGCTGTTTTGATTACTATAGCCTTAGAGTATAGTTTGAAGTCCAGTAGTGTGATGCCTCCCGCTGTGTTCTTTTTGCTTAGAATTGACTTGCCTATGTGGGCTCTCTTTTGGTTCTATATGAATGTTTAAGGTGTTTTTTTCCAGTACTGTTAAGAAGGTCATTGGTAGCTTGATGGGGATAGTGTTGAATCTGTAAATTACTTTGGGCAGTATGGTCATTTTTCCAATATTGATTCTTTCTAATCATGAACATGGAATGTTTCTCCATCTGTTTGTGTCCTCTCTTCTTTCATTGAGCAGTGGTTTGTAGTTCTCCTTGAAGAGGTCCTTTACATTCCTTGTTAGTTGTATTTCTAGGTATTTTATTCTCTATATAGCAATTGTGAATGGCAGTTCGTTCTTGATTTGGCTTTCTTTAAGTCTGTTATTGGTGTATAGAAATGCTTGTGATTTTTGCACATTGATTTTGTATCCTGAGACTTTGCTGAAGTTATCTATCAGTTTCAGGAAATTTTGGGCTGAGATGATGGGGTCTTCTAGATATACAATCATGTCATCTGCAAATAGAGACAATTTGACTTCCTCCTTTCCTATTTGAATACCTTTATTTCTTTTTCTTGCCTGATTGCTATGTCTACTAGATGGTTATTTGAGGCGGGTTGCTGAGGCGCCTGTGACCTTGTACACACTCAAACTGCATTCTCAGGAGGCTGTTCTTAACGTTCCTTACCACACTCCCCATGCCACACCCTGTCGTGTTTTTAGGTGTAAGGAGTTTCATCCCCATGCACAAATCACATACACACAGTGCCTTAGTATTTTTTCATGTGCAGACCTCAAATGCCACATACATAAGCTTAAATATGTTGCTGTGTACCCCCCATACTTTGGGAGGCCATGGTGGGTGGATCACTTGAGGTCAGGAGTTGGAAACCAGCCTAGCACACATGGTCAAATCCTGTCTCTACTAAAAATACAACACAATTAGCTGAACATGCTGGTGTGAGTCTGTAATTCCAGGTACTTGGAGGCTGAGGCAGGAGAACTGCCTGAGTCCAGAAGGTGGAGATTGCAGTGAACCATGACACTGCACTCAAGCCTGGGCAACAGCAAAGTTCCATGTAAAAAAAAATTTTCAGTAAATTATAGGAAGACTAAGCAGTCCCAGAGATAAGAATTCCTGGGACTGGCCGGGTGCGGTGGCTCACGCCTGTAATCCCAACACTTTGGGAGGCCGAGGTGGGTGGATCACGAGGTCAAGAGATCGAGACCATCCTGGTCAACAAGGTGAAACCCCATCTCTACTAAAAATACAAAAATTAGTTGGGCATGGTGGTGCATGCCTGTAACCCCAGCTACTCAGGAGGCTGAGGCAGGAGAATTGCCTGAACCCAGGAGGCAGAGATTGTGGTGAGCTGAGATAGCGCCATTGCACTCCAGCCTGGGTAACAAGAGCGAAACTCCGTCTCAAAAAAAAAAAGAAAAAAAATTATTGGGATCATCGTCCCTTCTTATGGAGTGATATATAACCTTCATTGAAGTACATCAACATGTAACCAATCACGTTGCTGCAACCTACACACTGGTGTTTAATAGAAAATGTGGTGATTCTGCTAAAGCTTCTCTTTTTCTATGAGTGTGAAACCTTAACGTCTCCAATGTGGAACGCTGATCCCATTCATTTGGAGTTGATGTTTCCTGGTGGCTATCTTCAAGCTTTGTGTTTAAATAAACTTTGTACTTAATCACATATGTATAAATGTGTGTGTGTGTGTGTGTATTTTTTGATATGGAAATTCAATTTTGTTGCCCAGGCTGGAGTGCAGTGGCACAATCTCAGCTCACCACAACTTCTGCCTTCCAGGTTCAACTGATTCTTCTCTCTCAACCTCTTAAGTAGCTGGGACTACAGGTGAGTGCCACCACTGTTGGCTGATTTTTGTATCTTTAGTAGGGATAGGGTTTTACCATGTTGGCCAGGCTGGTTTCACACTCCTGACCTCAGGTTATCTGCCTACCTTAGCCTCCTAGAGTGCTGGGATTATAGGCAAGAGCTACCACACTCAGCCTTATTTCTTTTGTGAAACAGAGTTTTATTCTTCTTGCCCAGACTGGTGTGTAGTGGAATGCTGGGATTACAGGCATGAGCCACCGCACCCAGGCTTATTTCTTATTTTTATTTATTTTATTCCTTTTTTTTTTTTGAAACAAACTTTTGCTCTTGTTGCCCAGGGTAAAGTGCAGTGGCACAAGCTAATATTTGTATTTTTAATATAGATGGGGATTTGCCATGTTGGCCAATCACCATGTGAGCCAGGCTGGTCTCGAACTTCTGACCTCAAGTAATCTGTCCACTGTACACTCCAAAGTTGCTGGGATTAAAGGTGTGAGCCACTGCGCCTGGCCCAAGGCTTCTTGTCTTTAAGTGATTATTGTGATAGCTGAGGACAATAGAAAATACCTAACATCATTTCAATTATTATAAAAACTAAAACTTATTTCACGGGCTTATCCATCCTTGCACTCATGGATGGGTAAGCGCAAGGATGGTCTTGAACCCCTGACTTCAGTTGATCTGCCCACCTTGGCCTCCCAAAGTGCTGAGATTACAGGCATTAGCCACTGGGCCCGACCTTAAGTATTGTTTATTTATTTATTTTTGAGATGGAGTATCCCTCAGTTGGCCAAGCTCAAGTGCCCTGATGTGATCTTGGCTCATGGCAACCTCCGCCTCCTGGCTTCAAGCAATTATCCTACCTCAGTTTACCGAGTAGAGTAGCTGGGACTACAGGCTGCGCCACCATTCCCAGCTAAGTTTTTTGTATTTTTAGTAGAGACAGGGTTTCACCATGTTGTTCAGGATGGCCTCCATCTCTTGACCTAGTGATCCACCCGCCTCAGCCTCCCAAAGTGCTGGGATTATAGGTGTGAGCCACCGTGTCCGGCCTTAGAGAGTTATATTCAAAGCTGAATTCCAGACATCTGAATTCAGGTGCTTGGGTTCACTTTTTTTATTTTTTTTGAGACAGAGTTTTGCTCTTGTTACCCAGGCTGGAGTGCAATGGCGCAATCTCGGCTCACTGCAGCCTCCGCCTCCTGGGTTCAGGCAATTCTCCTGCCTCAGCCTCCCGAGTAGCTGGGATTACAGGCACAGGCCACCATGCCCAGCTAACTTTTTGTATTTTTAGTAGAGATGGTGTTTCACCATGTTGACCAGGATGGTCTCAATCTCTTGACCTCGTGATCCACATGCCTTGGCCTCCCAAAGTGCTGGGATTACAGGCTTGAGCCTGCACCCGGCCCACATTTTTATCTGTTTGAATTGTGGCCACTTTCCCAGAGTGTGTGTGAGGAAGTTCTCTCCAAGTCCAGATCTTTGCTAATGGGACAGTGTGTTAGTTTATGGCCAAGGACATGGGAAGCACGTAGAAAACTGTTCAGCTCATGAGACGTGAGCCATTGCTCAGCCATTGCTATTGCTATAATTATTACGTTTGTTTGTTCTTGTTTTTGTTTTGGAGATGCACTCTTGTTCTGTCACCCAGGCTAGAGCTCAGTGGCATGATCTCAGCTCACTGCAACCTCCGCCTCCCGGGTGCAAAGAATTATCTTCCTCAGCCTCCCAAGTAGCTGGGATTACAGACACCTGCCACCATGCTTGGCTAATTTTTTTTTTTTTTTGGAAACGGAGTTTTACTCTTGTTACCCAGGCTGGAGTGCGATGGCGCGATCTCGGCTCACCGCAACCTCCGCCTCCTGGGATCAGGCAATTCTCCTGCCTCAGCCTCCTGAGTAGCTGGGATTACAGGCACGCACCACCATGCCCAGCTAATTTTTGTTGTATTTTTAGTAGAGACGGGGTTTCACCTTGTTGACCAGGAGGGTCTCAATCTCTTGACCTCGTTATCCACCCGCCTCAGCCTCCCAAAGTGCTGGGAGTACAAGTGTGAGCCACTGTGCCCGGCCTGCCTGGCTAATTTTTGTATTTTTAGTAGAGATGGGGTTTCACCACCTTGACCCGGCAGGTTTTGAACTCCTGACCTCGTGTGCCACTGCTCCTGGCAATCATAAGTTTTTCTTTAAATCATAACAGCCTTCTACAGTTAGATCATGATGGTTTTTTGATTCTGAGTTTCATTTCTTTCTCTCCCTCTCTCTTTTTGACGGACTCTCAATCTGTCACCCAGATGTAGTGTAGTGGTACATTCTCAGCTCACTGCAACCTTTACCTCTCATGTTCAAGCGATTGTCCTGCCTCAGCCTCACGAGTAGCTGGGACTACAGGAGCCCACCACCATGCCCAGCTAATTTTCTGTATTTATACTAGAGACGGGGTTCCACTGTGTTAGTCAGTGTGGTCTCAATCTTTTGACTTCATGATTCTCCCGCCTTGGCCTCCCAAAGTGTTGGGATTACAGGCATGAGCCACCACACCCAGACTTTTCTTTTTTTCTTTTTAAGACAATTTGGCTCTTGTCACCCAGGCTGGAGTGCAATGGTGTAATAATCTCGGCTCACTGCATCCTCCACCTCCTGGGTTCAAACAAATGTCCTGCCTCAGCCCCCTGAGTAGCTGGGATTACAGGTGCCCGCCACCATGTCCAGCTAAATTTTGTATTTTTAGTAAAGACGGGGTTTCACTACCTTGACCAGGCTGGTCTCCAACTCCTAACCTCAGTTGATCTGCCCGCCTTAGCCTCCCAAAGTACTGAAATTACAGGCATGGGCCCTGACTTTGTTTTTTATAGTCATTGGACTTTGTCGACTCTGAGACAGTACCTGTATTTTAGCTCATCTTGATAATGAATATCCCGTGTTATGTTGAACAGAATATCTAACATATCTATGGAGAAAACATTGTATTTAGTTTTTATCTGTAATTTTTTGTTATAGAATTGGTCTGTCACCTAGGCTGGGGTGCAGTGGTGTAATCTCAGCTAACTGCAATTTCTGCCTTCTGGGTTCACGCGATTCTCTTGCCTCAGCCTCCCGAGTAGCTAGCTGGTATTACAGGCGAGTAACACTACGTACGCCCGTCTAGATTTTTGCATATTTAGTAGAGACGGGGTTTCACCATGTTGGCAAACCTGGTCTCGAACTTCTGACCTCAGGTGATCTGCCCAACTCGGCCTCCCAAAGTGCTGAGATTACAGGCGTTAGCTACCGCGTCTGGCCAACTAAAATTAATTTCAATGGCAAGGAACTAGGGGGTGGGGAGGTTGGGGAGGGATAACATGGGGAGAAATGCCAGATATAGATGAAGGTAGAATGGAGGCAGCAAACCATCTGGTTATTTATGCACCTATGCAACAACCCTACATGAATTGCACCTGTACCCCAGAACATAAAGTGAAATATTTAAAAAACAGCAATGAATTTTTCTGGATGCAATTACTGCTCAAGGTTCACTTCTCACAGAGGTGCTATTTCCCAGACTGCTGAGCTGTTCCAGCTTCACTGGTGGGTTTTGCCATCAATACCCGGAAAAAAAGGGCCGAGAGTCAGATGGAGGAAGTTCAAACCCCGCTCCCGGGCAGCCCTCACAGCCAAAGCCTCTTCTACCCTGCGCCCTGCGCCCCGCCCCTCGCCCTTCGCGTCCCGCCCCGGACTCGCTCAAACCCCGCCCTCACGTCTTTTTCCGGTTCGGCCAGGCCCCGCCCACCTCGTGTGTCTGGCTGAGGCCTGGCGTCTGTCCTATGCTGATTGGCACAGGCCCGGAAGTGGATGGTGTGGACTGAGGGCCACACCGTGGTGCGTAAATTTTGCTCTGTTTGTTTTGTCTGCGCTTCCCAGGTCTCTGCTGCTTCCGTACTGGGGGCGTGGAGTATTCCGGACCTGGATATTCCAGCCCCTCTTTGTCAACCCAGAGCAAACTGAGACGGCCGGTTGAGAGTCCGTGAGTCGCTTCCTTTTAAGGTTAAAGTCGTCCTGAGGCTGGCCCCGTCCCCGTTCTTTCCGCAATGGGCCTTGCAGACATCTGTGGCGGAATTTTCGTGCTCAAAACCCTTCCTGTCCCCTCCTTCCGCCTTGCGCTGTTTCAAGTCCTCACCCGGGATTTGGATTCCCGCCGTGGGCGCTTCTCAGCCTCGCTCTTGTGAGGCCCTGGAGCGCAGTGCGCAGCCCCAGTCCCCGGGAGGCGCGCCCTCGGCCCAGTCCTGGGATTTTGCAGACCCCACCCCTTCCGAAGGCGCTGTGGTTCCACACTCCCTCCTCCTGTCGGGCCCGGCTGCTCCCCACTTCCAACCCCTGGAAAACGTGCTCTTCTGGAGGCAGCCCTCTTCTCCCATCCTCGCCCTGTTTAACCGGAAGGCAGCCTTGAGTTTGAGATGTCCAGGTTCTTGGCTGTTTAACACAGAAATAAAAGAAAAAACACAAAATAACAAAGGAGCGAAGCAGGGAAAGTTGAAAGCATTAGTTTACTGAACTGAGAAATCACTCCACAGGGTGGGAGTGGGCCCTAGGGAGCATCTCCAGGTTTACAAAATTTTGGGGGGTTAAAGTCTTTCTTCTGCGGTCCTATGGGCTACCCTTTATTTAGATAAAAGATGTGGCCTTTGGCTGAGGTGAATTGGCCCTGAGGTGAATTGCTCAGGTGAATTAGCCTGAGGCCAGAGCACGTGCGTGCCCGATGCAGAAGGAATAGGCAGTGCTTTGCTCTTTCCCTTTCCATCTGAGATGTGGTGGAAGCGGGAGGGCTGTAGGGAGAGTAGCCTTTGAATCTTCGTTACTCTGAATGGGAAGATGGGGTTTTTCCTTTTCTTCCAGTTTTGGAAGGTTTGCCTTAACTGGCCTTAGATTCCCTGTCCCCACACCCAGGACCCAGGTGTTTCCCTTTTCTCTTTTTTATTAGAGATGGGTATCACTCTGTTACCCAGGAGGGAGAGCGGGGACAGGATCACAGCTCACTGCAGTGTCAACGTTCTGCATTGAAGGGATCCTTCGACCTCAGCCTCCAGAGTAGCTGCGACCACGGATGGGCGCCACCACACCGAGCTAATTTTTGTGTTCGTGGTAGAGACGGGCTTTTGCCATGTTGCCCAGGCTCGTCTCCAACTCCAGGGCTGAAGCCATCCAGCTGCATCGGCCTCCCAAAGTGCTGGGATTACAGGCATGAGCCACCACATCTAGCTGGTTCCTTTCCCTTTTCTTTTCCCTTTCCTGAGATGAAACCTCGCTCTGTCACCCATGCTGGAGTGCAGTGCTGCGATCTTGGCTCACTGCAGCCTCTGCCTCCCGGGTTCAATTAGTTCTCCTGTCTCAGCCTCCTAAGTAGCTGGGACTATAGGTGTGTGCCAGCATGCCCAGCTAATTTTTGTAGTTTTAGTGGAGACCAGGCTTCACAATGTTGGTCAGGCTGGTCTCTGTAGAGCTGAGGGCCCCACAGGGTCGTGGGGTGAGCCTCATGCTGTGCTGAGGCACAGGATCTGAGAAATAAAGAGACAGGACACAGAAGTACAATGAAAACGCAGCTGGGCTCGGCGGGCCATGCCACCTATGAGCAGAGTCAGGAGAGGCCTCGAATGTCAGGAAGCATGAGCATTTATTGTGTATAGGTTAGGGGGCAGGGCAGTGAGTGAAATGATCTTTAAGGATAGTGATAGGGTTGTGAGCAATAAAACATGAGGTCTACCCCCATTAGGTCACCTAGGCCAGGAGGTGGGCACTGCGCAGCAAGGGACCTGTTCCCATGAAGGCAAGGGCCGTGTGCAGTAAGGGGTCCACCCCCATTAGGTCACCGAGGCTTGAAGGTGGGCCGTGCGCAGTGAACAGGGTGCAGTGTGCAATACTTCTGTCTATGGGAAACTACTTCTAAGAAGATTTATAGGAGGATGCTTTAAGTTACACAGCAGTGACAGAGCTGTCAGGGTTATCGCCACCTTCTGGCAGCTTCCAATGGGTACTATGGGAAGATGCTTTTCAAGCAGCACAGTCACCAAGGTGGATTGCCGGTCTGAGGGCAGCCTTCCACAAGAACTGGAGCAAGGTCCTACAACTCCTTTATCAGGAGGAGTGGCTCTCGCCCCAAGCCTGCCATACAGTGGGTATCTTTACAATCCTGAACACTGTCACCTGGGCCATGCGTTCTTGTCCTGGTATAGCTGTTTTTCCCTTAAATTGTGCTCTGCACTGTGTCTGCTCTTGGCATTGCTGTGATTATAAGCTGCTTATTCCTTAATTTATGCTCTGTACTGTGTCCACTCTAGGCATTCCTCCGATTATGATCTAAGATATAATTATAGGTATATATGTAGGGAAATATTCTTTAGGCACTCATACTATCAACTATTATATGATTATATATGGAGTATTATATAAAGGGATCCTTCAAGCCCTATTTCTATAAACTAATATATGATTATGTAAAGGATTATATAAAAGGAAATAGCTGGGTAGTAACACTCTAAAGTGAGATATTCCTCAAGCCCTAACTGTGCCAGGGTTCTGCTTAGCTCTCATTCCTCGGTGCCTATATGGGGGCTTACCCACAGGTCTCAAAATCCTGACCTCGGGATCCACTGCCTTGACCTCCCAAAGTGTTGGGGATTACAGGCATTAGCCACAGCACCCAGCCTGTTTTGTCAGTTTTTTGAGATGGAGTGTCACTTTGTTACCCATGCTTAAGTGCAGTGACAGCATCTTGGATCACTGCAACCTCTGCCTCCCAGGCTGAAGTGATCTTCTTGAATCAGTCTCCCAAGTAGCTGGGACCACAGATGTGTGCCATGATGCCTGCTTAACTTTGCGTATTTTTGGTACAGAAGGCATTTCACTAAGTTGCCCAGGTTGGTTTGAAAGTTCTGGGCTCAAGTGATCTGCCTGCCTAAGCTTCCCAAAGTGCTTGGATTACAGGGGGGAGCCACCATTCCCAGCTGGTCTCGGAATTTTCTAGAGGAGGAAGACCAAGGCAGCCTGTTGTCCCTTGTAGGCCATCACATGGGTATCAGCCACACCTCCTTATCTCAGAGCTTCTCAGGATAACTTGGTGAACTGTCTCCGGCTCTGAGCCTCAGTGACTTCACCTGTAACATATTGGTGAGGAAGAAGACTGGAAAACTCAGAGTGACAGTCACCCCTAAAATGACTGACAAAATACAGTGTGTGGCTTTTCTTCTGAGAGAGGGTAGTGCTCATATTTTTCCCTCCCTCTCTCCCCTTCCTTCTCCTTCTCCCCTCCCTCCCTCCATCCCTCCCCTATCCCCACCTTTCTTTTCTTTTCTCCTTCCCTTCCTTCCCTCCCTCCCTCTCCTATCTCCCTCGCTCCCTCTCTTCTTACCTCCCTCCCTTCCTCCCTTCCCTCTCTCCCTCCTTTCCCTCCCTTTTCTCTTTTGTTTTCTTTTTTTTCTTTCCTGACACTTTTTCTGTCACCCAGGCTGGAGTGCAGTGGCACCCTCTTGGCTCATTGCAACCTCCACCTTGTGGGCTCAAGCGATTTTCCCGTATTTGCCTCCTGAGTAGCTGGGATTACGGGCACCCACCATCAAGGCTGGCTCATTTTTTTGTATTTTTAGTAGAGACGGGGTTTCATCATGTTTGCCAGAATGATCTCAACCTCCTGAGCCCGTGATGCAACCACCTCATCCACAACGTCTTGGGATTACAGGCGTGAGCCACTGTGCCTTGCCACTGCTCAGTTTTAACTCAAATTTTAAATAGATTCCAGTCCTCCAAAAATTAAAAAAGAAAAAGCACAAGAAGGACAAAAACGGGACTCAAATCACCTTGAGCCTTATCATGATGACGTGCCCATGGTAATCAGCGTACAGCTTAATTTTACATATTTTAGGGAGACATGAGTTAGGAATATATGTAAGAAGTACATTAGTTTGCTCTTGAAAAGTGGGACAATTTGAAGCAAAGGCAAAAAGACTTGAAGCAGGGAGGGGGCATCCAGGTCACACATAAGTGATGCACAAATACCTACAGTGTCCCAGGTGATCATAATTTGTGTGTAGCACTAAGGGTCAAGTTTCTGTGTCCTCCATTTCTGAGGGCTGAGCTGAGCCTCTGATCCACAGAGAGGGGAGGGGCTGGGGCTGTGCCCTGAAGGGGAGCTCAGTCCAGCCCAGCTCCCAACTGCTGCCTGGTATGTGGGGCTTCTCCAGGAGGGGAGTGAGATCTCAAGACCAGGGTGAAACATACACTTGTAGGTCTTCCTGTGGGACTTTCTTCTCTCTGCGTGATCTCTGGTGCAGTGGGCAGCAGAGGCCCATCTTTCTCCAGGGTAATGTCTGCCCCACATGTGTGTTTCTGTCACAGTTAGGGAGTGAGTTGTTTCTAACATTAAGTTTCCAATATTTTTCACATGCAGGGTTGATTTCTAAAGACTCATGTTACGTGAGGAAGCAGCTCGGAAGAGAAAAGAAAAGGAGCCAGGCATGGCTCTTCCTCAGGTAAAGTGACACTCCTCGGTGGGTTCATCTCTTTCATTTCTGAAATGCCAGGTATTGTAGTAGCCAGTCTGTTCTGAGTCTGAAGCGTCCTGCCTGACACGTTGGCTCGCACTTACCCATGCCTTCCTCAGTTCCTGTCATCTGCTGAGATTCCATATTCTGTGACCCAGTGACATGAACTCAGGAAGAGGCTCCACTGGGCATGGTCATGGGAAGGGCTGACACCAGACCTGGATGGACACAGGGTGTGGGCCTTGTGGTGTCAGTGTTGCTGGGCAGCCTGCGTTGTTCAGGGGCCACATCTGGATATCAGCTCTTTGTGACCAAATCAGAGAAACTATGTATAAAACACATAGGTTAATATGCACAGATGTCTGGTAAATTCTGGAATAGGAGACCAATAAGGGGAGATACTTTGTATCTGATTTTGTAATGCAGTGGAAGCCACACTGGTAGATCAACACGTCTCTAACTCAGATCTTTTTTAAGAGACAGGATCTTGGTTCAGGTGCGGTGGCTCAGGCCTGTAATCCCAGCACTTAGGGAGGCCGAGGTGGGTGGATCACTTGAGCTCAGGAGTTCAAGACCAGCCAGGCCAACATGATGAAACCCCATTTCTACTAAAAATACAAAAATTTGCTGGTTGTGGTGGTGCATTGTCAATAATCTCAGCTATTCAGGAGGCTGAGGCAGGAGAATCACTTAAAACTGGGAGGGAGAGGTTGCAGTAACCCAAGATTCTGCCATTGCACTCCAGTCTGCATGACAGAGTGAGGCTTTGTCTCAAAAAATAAATAAATAAATAAATAAGAGCAAGTGTCGCTCTGTGGCTAAAGTCAGAAGTGCAATGACACAATTCAGAGTTTACAGCAGCCTCAAACTCCTATGCTCAAGTGATTCCCACTTTAGCCTCCCAAGGAGCTAGATGATAGGCATGTATCACCACACATGGCCAATATTTCTATGTATTTAATTATTTGTGAGTCTCACTCTGTCACCCAAGCTGAAGTGCAGTGTTGTGATCTCAGCTCACTGACACCTCTGCCTCCTGGGTTCAAGCTATTCTTCAACCTCAGCCTCCTGAGTTGCTGGGATTAGAGGCATGTGCCAATACACAGGCTAATTTTTGTAATTTTAGCAGAGATGGGTTTTCACCATGTTGGTGAGGCTGGTCTTGAACTCCTCACTTTGTGATGTGCCGGCCTTGGCCTCTGAAAGTGCTGGGATTACATACATGAGCCACCACACCCAGCCTTGCTTTTTTGTTGTTGAGACGGAGTCTCTGTCACCCACGTTGGAGTATAGTGGAGCCATCTGGACTCATGGCAGCCTTTGTCTGCTGGGTTCAAGTGACTCTTCTGCCTCTCCCTTCTGTGTAGCCCAGATTATAGACGCCACCACCACAACTATTTTTTTTTTTTAAGACAGGGTTTTACCATGTTGGCCAGGCTGGTCTTGGACTCCTGACCTCAGGTGATCCGCCCGCCTCGGCCTCCCAAAGTGCTGAGATTACAGGCATGAGCCACCATGCCCAGCCTTTTTTCTTTCTTTCTTTCTTTCTTTTTTTTACTTTTTATACTTTTAGTAGAGACAGGGTTTCACTATGTTGGTCAGGCTGGTCTCCAGCTCTTGACCTCAAATGGTTTTCCCGCCTTGGCCTCCCAAAGTGCTGGGATAGCAGGCGTGAGCCACCACACCCCGCCCAGCGTTTTCTTCTTATTTGTATATTTTTCATATTGTCTGTAAAACCGAGACTTCCACAGTGACTTAGGGGATCTTAAAAATGTTTGATGAAAAAGTGCAGTAAAGTGCAACTATAGAAAAGAGTGTTCAAAAAAACCTTAATGTGGATTTGTCAAAACAGTTTGTGATGAAATGGATACTTAATTTCTCTGTTCTCATTTTGTGTGATGGTAATAACTCAGTCCTTCATAATGTTTTGTTGAAATGTGTTTTTCATTTTAGGGACGCTTGACTTTCAGGGATGTGGCTATAGAATTCTCTTTGGCAGAGTGGAAATGCCTGACCCCCGCGCAGAGGGCTTTATACAGGGATGTGATGTTGGAGAACTACAGGAACCTGGAGTCTGTGGGTGAGGAAAATGTTCCTTTAGACATGAGGAATCTCCCTTCTCTATCTTGGCTCTTCCTGCTTTGGATTCTCTGTTGTGATTTTGCCCCATACAGCCTTTTTTTTTTTTTTTTGAGATGTAGTTTTGCTCTTGTTGCCCAGGCTGCAGTGCAATGGCACAGTCTTTGCTCACTGCAACCTCTGGTTCAAGTGATTCTTCTGCCTCAGCCTCCCAAGTAGCTGGAGGGCTAGAGGCATACACCAGCACACCTGGATAATTTTGTCTTTTTAGTAGAGATGGGGTTTCTCTATGTTGGTCAGGCTGGTCTTGAACCCCCGACCTCAGGTGATTTGCGATCCTTGGCCTCCCAAAGTGCTGGGAATACAGGTATGAGCCACCTTGCCTGGTCCCCATATGTGTTTTTGTTGTACATGTAATTGTTTTCTGCAGTGATGACGCTCCTATCTTTCATGGATCGCTGATTCAGGACTCTCCTATGGAGTGGGTTTACATACAAGGAGAAAACTGATGAAGAACACTTAGACTGTTATGATTGAACATTGTCCTGGTCTAGGCAGAGATGCCCTTAGAAACCCTGAGCAGAATTGTCAGCATAGCCCAGGATATGAGATAGAAAGCATGACGCCGACTCGCGAGTGTTTCCTGCTATCATGCTGGTTTTTATTTATTTTTCAGACAGAGCCTCCCTTTGTCACCCAGGCTGGAGTACAGTAATGCAGTCTGGGCTCACTGCAACCTCTGTCTCCCAATTTCAAGTCATTCTTCTGCATCAGCCTCCCTTAATTTTTTTTTCTTTTTCTTTTTTTTTTTTTTGAGATGGAGTTTTGCTCTTGTTACCCAGACTGGAATGCAATGGTGCGATCTCGGCTCACCACAACCTCCGCCTCCTGGGTTCAGGCAATTCTCCTGCCTCAGCCTCCTGAGTAGCTGGGACTACAGGCGTGCACCACCATGCCCAGCTAATTTTTGTATTTTTAGTAGAGATGGAGTTTCACCTTGTTGACCAGAATGGTCTTGATCTCTTGACCTCGTGATCCACCCACCTCGGCCTCCCAAAGTGCCGGGATTATAGGCGTGAGCCACCGGGCCTGGCCGTTAGCCTCCCTTGTAGCTGGGATTCCAAGTGTGCACCACTACCCTTAGCTAATGACTGTATTTTTAGTAGAGACAGGATTCACCTTGTTTTTCAAGCTGGTCTTGAATTCTTGACCTGAGGTGATCCACCTGCCCCAGCCTCCCAAAGTGCTGGGATTCCAGGCATGAGCCATATCCCAGCCCATTCTGGTTTTGAGGAGCATCACAGAAGTGTCCCTCACTGGCACTGTGACAACGTTCACCTCATAAACTATTGATCATCTTCTCTTAGCAGCAGTCAGAGGTGTTGAAATTCCTCCTAGGGAGGATATCATTCTAGCTCACAGCTGCATATTATTGCAGGAATTCAAGCCAAAGAGGGCCAAAGACCATGGAGACTCAAGAGGATATATTGGTCCACTGACTGACAGCAAGGCTAATGCATGTAATGGCCACTAGCCCTGAACAAAAAGAACATATTGCTTTTATACAACTTGAGGCAAGAAAATGAGGCAGAAAACAGGTTTCTGACGAAGACACTTAATTATTGACTTGTGACAAGTTTTACAATCTTGGGAAAATGTGTAGTTTCTTTGTGGTTATCCTGACTTCATAACCTTGCCTCTGGGGTAAGAAAAGCAGGAATTGCTGGGCGTGGTGGCTCACACCTGTAATCCCAGCACTTTGGGAGGCCGAGGCGGGTGGATCACGAGGTCAAGAGATCGAGACCATCCTGGTCAACATGGTGAAACCCCGTCTCTACTAAAAATACAAAAAATTAGCTGGGCATGGTGGCGCATGCCTGTAATCCCAGCTACTCAGGAGGCTGAGGGAGGAGAATTGCCTGAACCCAGGAGGCGGAGGTTGCGGTGAGCCAAGATCGCGCCATTGCACATTGCACTCCAGCCTGGGTAACAAGAGTGAAACTCCATCTCAAAAAAAAAAAAAGAAAAGAAAAGCAGGAATTGCAGAAGAATGTGTGGGCTGCAGGCAGAAAGGTCTGCTCTGGTGCACTTGCCTAAGTCAAGGGGTCTGGGCTAGGTCTGCTCTGCCTCCACTTTCTGTAAATACAGTTTGTATAATTAGCCTGGAATGTGGGCTGTGAGACAAGTTTGCAGCTGAAACTAGTTGGGCTAAGGTGGGAGGGGTTGTTTTGCTTACTATGGTTATTCCTACTAACGTAGTCCCAATGTTAACTATTACTTATTCTATTTTAGTTCTGTCTTTGATTAGTATTTTCCTCCTCATTACCCCCTTAAAAGCTTTCTTTAAAAGGGCTTTATTACTAGAAGTCTTTTCTCTCTCTCTCTCTCTCTTTCTTTTTTTGGAGACTTTACAGTTCACAGTACACGTAATACCAGGATGGAGGTCGGCATGTCATTGAAGTGTTACTGTTTGTCTGCTCGGATGCAGAGCTAGCTTGCCAGTGTACTTTCTCCTGTTGCCATCTATTCTGGATCTCCTGACGGCAGGAGTAGGCAAACTCCTTTGGCTTCTGTTGGCCTCTCTGTGGCTGTGCCTGTCTGAGATTTTTCCCCTGTCTGAGGAATCTTACCCATCACTGACTAACCAGCCATCAGTCTGGGGTCATACAGGGCTCGTGGTGTCATCTTTGGAGGCTTTTGCCTAGCCTGGAGGACAAGACTGAAGATAGGTTACACTTTAGCAAGCTGCTTTATTAGGTTAGGACATCTAATGCTACACTTCATGATTTGACCTACAGGCTCTTCACCTATGCATCTGTACTTCATGTGATTCAGAAAGGGAACAAAAACAGGCAGAGTATGAGGAAGAAAAATACCCTTAGAGGAGTCCTATGTGGGTAGGACTGTCTTCACCATGTGAATTCTCTTCCTGCAAGGAGAAAGGCTGACATGTAGTTAAAGCTGTTATTTGGGATGTAGTGTGCCTAGCCACTACTGCCCCTATGGTTGTTTGAATGCTTCTAAATAAAAGAGTTAAGATAGCCAGACATGGTGGCTCACGTCTATAATCCCAGCACTTTGGGAGGTTGAGGCGGGTGGATCACGAGGTCAAGAGATCGAGACCATCCTGGTCAACAAGGTGAAACCCTGTCTCTACTAAAAATACAAAAATTAGCTGGGCATGGTGGTGCACACCTGTAGTCTCAGATACTCGGGAGGCTGAGAAAGGAGAATTACTTGAACCCAGGAGGCGGAGGTTGCGGTGAACCGAGACCATGCCATTGTTCTCCATTCTGGGTAACAACAGCGAAAGTCCATCTCAAAAAAAAAAAAAAAAAGAAGTTAAGATGCAAGGGAGTATCAGGCATCCGCCTAATATGAGAATTACACTCCCTATAAGAGTTTTGAAGCTGCCAAAAGACAAAAACCACTCTTCAAAAGGAGAATCTGGAGACCACCCTTTCCAAGTTTGGACTGGGACATGAGACATGGGCCTGTTTTTACATTCTGGCAGTGATCTCCATTACTGCTTGTTGATTGTCATCAATTTCTTTCTTTTTCCTTTTCTTTTTTTTTTTTTTTTTTTTTTGAGGCAGAGTTTTGCTCTTGTTGCCCAGACTGGAGTGCAGCGGCACAATCTTGGCTCATTGCAACCTCCACTTCCCGGGTTCAAGTGATTCTCCTGCCTCAGCCTCCTGAATAGCTGGGATTACACACATGCACCACCATGCCCAGCTAATTTTTCGAATTTTTAATAGAGACGGGGTTTCTCCATGTTGATCAGGCTGATCTAGAACTGTTTTTTTTTTTTTTAGAAGGTGGTAGGATGACATATTCAAGGTGCTAAAAGAAAACGACTGCTAAACAAAAATATATATTTTTTTTTAAGGAAAGAAAAAAAGGGAGTGAAGGAGAGGAAGGAAGAGGAAGAAAAAGAGGGAGAGAGAATGGAAATGTTGCTTTATTCTAAAAAATGGGTATTAATAATGGTTGATTGATATTTCATTTAAACCTATGAGTAGGTGTGATATGGTACTGACAAGAATGTATATTTTGTATATTTAAAGTGGAGAGCTCTATAAATATTTATTAAGTTTACTTGTTCCGGATCTGAGTTTGGGTCCTGGATATCCTTATTAATTTTCTGTCTCATTGAGTCTAAGTCTCTTTATAGGTCTTACGAATCTGGGTGTTAGGATTGTTAGCTCTTGTTGCATTGATCCTTTTACCACTATATCTTTGTTGCTTTAAAATCTATTTTATCAGATGTGAGAATTGTAACTCCTGCTTTTTATTTATTTATTTATTTTTGCTCTCCATTTGGTTGGTAAAACTTTCTCCATCTCTTTGTTTTGAGTCTTTGTGTATCCTTGCATGTGAAATGGGTCTGGATGTAGCATACTGTTGGGTTTTGGCTGTATCTTTTATTGGGGGATTTAGTCGATTTAAATTTAGGATTACTGCCATTTGATGTTAACTGGCTGTTTTGTCCATTCGTTGATGTAAATTCTTCTTTATGTTGATGCTCTTTACTTTTTGGTATATATATATATTTTTTTTCTTTTCTTTTTTTTTTTTTTTTTTTGAGACGGAGTCTCGCTCTTGTTACCCAGGCTGGAGTGCAATGGCGCGATCTCGGCTCACCGCAACCTCCGCCTCCTGGGTTCAGGCAATTCTCCTGCCTCAGCCTCCTGAGTAGCTGGGATTACAGGCACGTGCCACCAGGCCCAGCTAATTTTTTTTTTTGTATTTTCAGTAGAGACGGGGTTTCACCATGTTGACCAGGATGGTCTCGATCTCTTGACCTCGTGATCCACCCGCCTCGGCCTCCCAAAGTGCTGGGATTATAGGCGTGAGCCACCGTGCCCAGCTTTGGTATATTTTTAGAAAGGCTAATACTGGTTGTTTCTTTCTGTGTGTAATGCTTCTTTCAGAAGCTCTTGTAAAGCAGGCCTGGTGGAAATAAAATCTCTGAGTACTTGCTTGTTCATAAAAGATTTT